CTGCATTATGAGGTCAAACGGGCACGCGGCGACTTACAGTGCCATCCCGGCTATATCAACTTCATCCACGGCTACCATAATCGCTTTTTTTTTCGCCTGGAGACGGACAGTGCCGTGTTCGTCTGCTGGGAACACAAGGGGGTCTACTGGACGGAGCAACTGCTGGCCGACTGTGACCAGCGGTGTTTTGAATGGGACACCCCAGCGGTTGTCGTGCCGGTAGAGAAGGAACCGCTGCCGATAGAAGGTACCAATATAACTTTATTAGTTTATTATTATTATTACATCAAGAGCAGACACTACGACGTCTGATAGTGTTGACCTCTCAGCCGAGTTTTCTGGGTTTAATAACTTGCAAATCGGCACAAAGAATTATGTTTTCCTGCTATAGTGCGTTGTATTGTACAATGGACGACAAAAAGAGGTTGAAATCGACCGGTCAGTGTGCGGTCGCGCCTCACCAACTTCTTTTTGTCGTGCACTGTACGGCAAACTGACTTGTTCCATTGCTTCTAGATACCGAGCAAGAAATGCAGCTGCACATTCATTCTCTACCTGAAGAAATATTCCAAGATTTGCTAGACTATGTGGATGTCTACACTCAAATCGCACTACGACGGTACTCTATAGTTACGCAATTACCTCGTACTTGAACCATGTACAGGTATTATTGCGAAGTCCACTACTCTATCACTGTGCGGCCTAACTTAATAAGAAGTCCCGTACGAACGAAAAACAAATAAATCTAAAACCAGGTTTAGAAATAAAATGGGCAGCCCCTGATAAATGTGCGCATACATGTCAGGCTGCGCTCATGGTAAGCGGGTCAGAAGAGACGGCCACAACATTCATCCGGTTTTGTAGTACTTACAGTGTTCTATAATCTATACGGCACTCTATACGGAACAGCAAAAGCCACGACTTTCATTCAAATTACTGCTTTTAGCAGTACTCACTCTGCCCGTGTGCTGCTTTCCCGGACTGTAGTCAAGCTTGTGAGCATCGCTACTGTAACCGAAAGGACCAATTTTCGATAAATCCGCATTCTTTCTTACTACCGTACGCTCCATGGCCCGCTAGCCAGAACCGGCAGCCACAACATCATATAAACCGATCGCACAGCACTACGTTCGGTGCAGTAAGTTGTAATTTTTTCCACAGGGTTAGTCCCAAATGGAACACTGTCTGGATACGTCGCGTCCGGTCGACCATCACAGTGGATTTTAGCCAGCGCGTGGAGAGCGTCAACAACAGCGACGAAATGTACCGCCTGGCGATGCTGTTACAGCACGCGCTCCATCCCGGCGTACGGACCCTGGCCGTGACCGGCTGGGTGCCGGGTCAGCGGGTTCACAGCCGCGGTGCAACCACCGCGGAACTGGACATCGGCGTCATCTGTGGACCAGTTCGTCTACGCTCGCCACCGACCCTCCGCCGCCTAATCCTGCACCGCTGCGTCGTGGACTACGAATTCGCCGAGCGCCACCACCGGCGTCCCATGCGCTGTTTATCGCGCCTGATGGACGTTTGTGACGAGCTGATCCTGGTTGACTACACCATGACCGATGCCTGGCAGCGTCTGACCGATGTGTACTTTTTCAATCAGCACAAGCACCGTTTCCAGGGCCGCAGTCCACGCACCAAAGTGCCGGTGACTTTGGCGTCCGTGCGCTTCGGCGCGTCACGCTCCGACGCGGCCAATTTCAACGTTATGCGCGCCGCTATGGAAGACCAGCTGCCGGATGTGTCAGCTGGCATGCGCGACACTGTAGCGTCCATGCATGCCTACTGGTGCTCGTTGAACGTGGCGGAGGACTTCCAGTACGCCGTTCATCTCCGGAGAATCCTCAATTTGTAAGTGCAACGTTTACCATCTTGTTGTCCGTGCAGCAAAGAATTAGCGCGTTTGGTCAACATCTCTCCAAGCACATTGTGTTTTCTAAACAACCGACGGTGATCCGCTATTTGGCCGATCACCGCGTCGACCTAAGTTATGTCAAGTAGAAAAGAAAATGTAGTAGAAGTAGTTATGTCAAGTTATGTTAAGTAGAAAATTCGTCGACCGCCAGTTGGTACAGCAGACACGATGTCGAACCGTCACGAAGTCGACCTAAGTGTCTTAGTTTTCTAAGGTTTTCTTAGGTGTTACTGTGTTTTCTTATGTATTCTTAATGTCGTACGCAATTACAATATTTTATATAACCCTAACTTTGCCTTTGACCTTTTCAATGTGTAACCTACAAATACCGATCACAGACTTCTGATCGCAGTTGCAAAAAACGATAACGGTTTTGCAGCTGGCTCAAATATTCTCGTAGATTGATTGTCATGTGTATGAGGGATCAGTGTTTTGCCATACATACATATGTGTAGCGAAAGTAATTGGCTGTTGAGAAAAGTGGAGCATTTTGTTGGCTGTTTTACAGTACCCAGCCCAAGGAAGCGCATCTCACCTCTCAACCGTGGCAGAATTTTGGATTGGAGACTGACCCTGACCTACACAAAATTTATCACATACCACCCGGCAATTATTCCCCATTAACCGTCTTTGTCCTATGGACAACGTGGTGCGAAAACGAAGCACAAGGTGTGTAACAAGTCGTCGGCTGACAAGTTGTGGTTCTACTCGCATAATTTTGTGTGCATGCAATGTTTGTTGATGCACGAATGGCGACACTTCTTGAAACGCAAGGCTGGAGACACGAAGAGATACTGAGCGGATGAGGAATAGTGATTCTGTTTTTGGCTCTTAACAAAAACTTTATTCCGAAACTATATTTCTCTACCAATAACTTGCACGTCCATCATTGTGTTGCATCAGCAATTTTATCAGTAATGGGTTTTATGGGTAATAGGTTGCCCGCAGCCGTGGAATAAGACCTGCTCAGGTCTTTTGAATGTTAAGAGACTTTTGCCGGCTTTTCCAAGTATAAGGTCGAATCGTAATAATTAATCTACTGTCCTTCGCTACGAGGCAGCGCCTTGTGAGACTTTTGGTACTTGGTGTGAGACCGGCATTGTATCGTTAAAGGAGATCGGTAGGAAGTAGTTTTAAGGACGGGTGAGAGTCGCTCTACTTGTTTTTTGTTTCAAAGTTTAAGTTTGGAGGTTATGCGTGGTAATGCAATGAGTGTATTGTGCACGGTCCCTTCCCATGTTAATTGGGACAAATTCTTCATTTGATCATGTTTGTTGAGCGAAGCTCGCCTTGTACATCTTGAGAAATTAAATAAGTAGAGCATAAATTGCATTTTTTATTTCAACTTGTACAAGCAATGTCATGTAACACTTAGACAAAGGTTTCCAAAAACTAGAACAAGTAAAATAACTCTTCTAGCTCTGTAGAACAGCCGACAGTTCCTAAAACAGAAACCGCATTTCCGCGCTGAATTTCCACACTAATACGTTGCCACAAGAAATCGGTATCTCGCGTTTCCCCTGTTTGTTCTGTGAGACGTCGGCCAACTTCACTGATGAACTGACGGGCTAACGCCGCAGCTCCCCGTAGTTTCAAAAGCCACAGGCTGGAAAAAGTAACGGTCAGTCAGCTCCGCGATTATACAATAAGTAGAGTGTTGTATTATATTTTTTGTATTGCAAGCAGCACATGAGCGTAATAGGCTACATTGGCAGCGGGCGTGAAAATGTGTATAAACGATTACCGAACATACATGTACACCAACAAGCAACATACAGATACTAGGTCTTAATAATTACAGGATACATACAGCAGTTTATTAAATACAGTAATGCTTTCATGCACAATAGTCGTACTCGTACACATTCGATGTTCGTGGCATCGTATTCACCGCTCAACCGAACAGCTCCATAGAGTCCTCAGTTTAGAATTTAGAATCATGTGGGCTGCATAAAATACGCACCGAGACAGTTTCGGTGTGTGGGATCTTGTATAATAATTATTCAAGGACATCGCCACAGGGTGCGACTTCCGCCGTAAAACACGCGTGGGTGTGTCTTTCAGCGAAACAACAAATTAGAAGGACTGCCTCGGCGATGAGTTGAACAATTTGTTTAACACAGTACTGGGAAGCGGAAACGATTTGCTGGACTGCAGTTCTGTTTAGACTGTCGTTATCGAAAACAAAAACGGTTTCTGTAGTGTCGTTTCGGCCTGTTACTGCATAAGCAGTGGCTTGAGAGTGCCTCGAGGGTTATTCTGCTTAATGGATAAACTATAAACTACTATTTATTATTACCTATATTATTATTACCTATAAACTATAATATTATTGTTGGATGAAGTCTAAACTACTTACTGGATAAACTACACTAACTACACTACTAGGTACATAACATCGTTTTACGCGAGCTGAGTGTTGTCTGCATTTTACAGCCACCTCGACAATTATTGTAATCCTCACAGGGTTTCAGTGCGTAAAGTATCAGAATGACAGCATACTTTATAAGAAAGAGATCTGTGCGCGTAATCTGCAAAAAATCTCCCAGCGCATTAAAAGGTTCATGTGACAGAACGATTAAGAAGTACGTAATATTACGATAAAATGATCCCCTTCGACAATTGTGCCGGTGTAAAAGACGTTATGGTACCGTTTTCACTCTTCCTGGCGTAATAACACCAAACAAATTTACACGAGCACTAGTATTTTTTAAGAGAAACAATAAAAACGTTCTACATACAACACTGAACGTCAGTGGAATCACGCGTACGGCATATTTGCCCACGTCAGCAGTCAGCTGCAACGGCCAACGTCTAACCGGCGTCACAAGCCTTAAAAAAACCGATTGTGGCCGCGATAATTGTCAACAAACCGTACATTGTTCCCTCCACATACAGTGTCAGAGATCCCGCTTTGTTGCGCTGCCTAGGCAAACCGTGCGCCGAGGCGAAGAATGCAGTGTTTGCGGTGATGTTCTCAGAAGCGGCAAAGAAAAGACGGCTTCGTGTCAAAAGAGACCGGAATGCCGTTGTGTGCTGTTTGCCGCGTCAGCACTACATACAACATTATCCCGCTGCCGGAATCCGAACAGATTCAATCTCAAGCACTGGCAGCAGTGAACAGTAGTTCGGGTGCGGAACAAGCCAGGAAAGTTAGCGTTGAATCGAAATATACCGGTTCTGTGACCTTTCGGTGAATTATCCACTTTGCACCATGTCCAGCGCTCTGCCTATTCGTTATCGCTTTGTGCACCTCCTCCTGATGATCGTCGGGATTATCCACGTGACCACCACCGCGGAAGAGGATGCTCGCGACAATACACTTTTGGTTGGTTCTTATGAATTCTATCTATCTATCTATTTGTAATTTTTCTGACAGATTTTATTATGAAGAATGTTTATTGGGCAACAGCCGCCGTAACAACAAAAAGTGCAAGCGCGGGCACACTACTTTACAGTTAAAATTTAAACATTAAAAAATAACCAAAATCTCTGTAGTTTGGCTGTTATTAAGGGAAATGCTACTGCTGTGTTAAGTACGTTGCCTTTTAACCCGCTGCGGATATAGATCTTAGTTGTTTTTTTAATGATTTTATTATTAATTATTCATCTTTCAGTCAGTATTTATTTCCCTAATTTCCCTCATAATTTTTTCAATCATAATTCGGTTTGATTTATTTAAATATGCTTTTCAAGACGCCGTTTACGTTCAGCCGTAGTCTGAGAAGATTCAGCGGCTATTTTTGTGCTTTGTACAGACTTTGGTACTCTGTACATACCTATTTTAGCGCATGTCCTAAGAACATTGAATTTTTATTGACTATAACGATTTTAGGTGTTTTTTCAACGTATAAAACTTAGTCACTGTGATTCATTAAAACCTGCGCATCCGGACGAATATCGTGTGAACTGGCCGATGCCGAATAATATAATTATTTATTTATAATAATTATCAATTGCAGTATTTTCGTCTGTTTATTTATTTATTTTATTTATTTATTCTAATTCGTTTTATTTTTCTAATTTATTTGGTACATACTTACTTTTTCAACTGCTCTGTATATAACACTACTATTAGCCTACTTTTTCAAATACTTTTTCAACACTACTATTAGTCTGACATATAACAGCAAAACATAGTAAGTAATTAAGGCAGTAAGTAATACGAGTACCGAAGGTTAATCATTTGGTTCCACCTTGATTCGATGAATGACAACGTATTGAAGAAGTTAAAAGACTATTGTTGTCCGTCGTCGTTGCAGCGCGTTAAACGGCAGAGCGGCGCCTTCACCCGCACCTACACCTTCACACCGCAGTCGTGCAACGCCGGCTCGATCGCCGGCGCCGTTTCGGCCAGCGGCGCCACGTACTACTCGGTGCAGACTCCCAACTCCAACATCGGCGTCACCTCGACGACGGGCAACATCTTCCTGGCCAACTACCTCACCCGCGGCGTCCCCTACACCGTCACCATCCAGGCCTGGGCCAACCAGGCCGCCTTCAACAACGGCGCCGGCACCAATCCCCTGGGCACCACCACCGTCACCGTCACCTGCCAGGTGGCCAGCAGTACCCCCGGCGGGACCCCCACCGGGGCCGTGGGGAGCGCCCCGGTGGCGGGCACCCAGGCTCTGACCGCCACCAGCTGCAGCGTTCCCGGCACTTTCGTCGGCAGCGCCACCGCCACCAGCGCCACCGCCGTGACCTACGCTGCGGTCACCACCGGGTCGCCGTTCACGGTGGCCACCAACGGGCAGATCACCCTCAACCAGGTCACCTCCGGCACCCAGACGCTCGTTGTAAGTAACCCCGTACCATGGCGCTGACCGTCTCTGTTCATGATTTCTGTCCAAAGGTCAGAGCCACCAACGCGTACGGCAGCACGCAGTTCCAGGTGCAGATCACCTGTCCAAGCAGCACCGCCGCGGTCTTCCCGGCCTTCACCTCGCCCCTGTACACCATGTCGGCGTCACCCTGCACGGCTGGTGCCATCGTCGGCACCGTCATCGCGACCCCCACCGGCACCGTCAACTACCAACTGGCCTCCGCCGCCCCGGTCACCGTCAACTCCGCCACCGGCCAGATCCAGCTGACCTCGGCGCCCATTACCAGCCCCTTCAACTTCGCCGTCACCGCCAGCAACAGCCGCGGCACCACGGCGACGACGGTGAGCCTGACCTGCACCAGTAGCTCTAGCGGGGGCACAACCCCCAACCGCATCTACTTCACGGTCCCGGTGTACACCTTCTATCCGACCGGGACGGCGTGCAACGCCGGCGGGGTGCTGGGACAGGTCGGGGTGGTGGGCGCCACTACGGCGCCGACGTTTACCATCACCTCCACCAATCCCGGTAAGTGTGACCTTTCGCACCTCGACCGTAGCGATTCTGACGTGCAAATCGATCGCCTGACCGGGTGTTGTGCAGGGTACGCCATCAGTCAAGCCGGCGTCATCACCAACCCCACGACGGGCCCGGTGTCCGGGACGTACACCGTGCAGGCTTCGGCCAACAGCGGCCAGACCGCCACGGCCACCTTCATCGTCAACCGGATGTTCTGCACGACCAGCAGCGGCGGGACCACCGGCACGTGTCCGGCCTTCGCCCAGACGTCCTACACCTTCACCCCCGCCGGCGGCTGCGGCTTCTTCGCGCCCATCGGCACAGTGTCGGCTACCTGCTCCACGGGGGGCGCGGTCACGTATTCGCTGCCCTTCGCCGCCGTTAACAATTTCGGCATCGACCCCACTAGCGGGTCGCTGTACGCCACGGCCCCCAGCACCACCTGCCAGACGGTGACGGTGACGGCTACCGTGCAGGATGGGACGTCACGGACCAGCACCGCGCAGGTGGCCATCGCCTGCAACGGCGGCACCTGCACACCCACCACAGGCTAGTCAGCTATGCCCGCGTAATTCGCACACGCACGCTTGCTCTCGGCACTTTAATTCTTTACAACATTTCATTTATTATTTACATAATGAACTACTGTAATTGTATATTACAAGTTGTAATTTATACAGTATGTTATCTTATTATACTATATAAAATGTTTCATAATCGTTAATATTTAAATTCGTGTATTTATTTTTTATTGATTGCGGTATTATTCTAGAAAACAATTGTACATGGCTTTTTCTACAAAACTCGAGTTACTGAACGGTAAAATAATAATTATTCGTTTTTTAATAAAAATATAGCATGAAGTTTCAGTAAGACACGCAGATAAGTAGATTTGCAGATAAGTATGTTGGTTCGATACCGTGACCTTTGATTCTACTCCCATAGGCGGATCAACGGGCTGCACGCAAGTGGGACAACCAGGTTGCGGCGATATTGGCTAACGAAGTCGCTGTGTGCGAAATGACCAAATGGCGTTCTCAGCCAGGAAATGCCGGCTTTGTTACAGCCCTGCTCAGCCAAGTTGGGGCAGTTTTGTTAAATAATTATAAAATAATTGTATACATTGTTTCGTTTTTGAATTTGCAGTTATCTAGTGTAACTTTTTACGGCAAATCTAGGAGTTTTAAAACCGGTACCCCTTGGTGTGCCAGTAGGGAGCCGAGCACTGGTTAAGGGGATGGTGTGGTGGTCATTTTTAGGATGCTTATAACGGCCCCTCTGAAGAATACACCAACAGATATTTTTACGTGAGCTTTTCTGGAAAGTCCTAAGCGAACCGAAGCCTGTCCGTTATGGGTTCGCAAAAAAATCTAGCGCGATCAGTGCTCGGGCTGGCCGTGAAACAATGTGCACTTCCCATAGGATTGTATGCTAAGACCTACCTGCCGAAGAATGCGGTTGCCTAGCGCACAGACCAAAGTAACTTCAATTTGATATTTGCCATGAATAAAGCATGGACCACCTGAAACGATTTTGAGGTTTGAACAGACATAAACTGTCCAGGCGGAGAAATGCAGTGGCCGGATGAACAGAATAAAAATCAGCAAAGCGGCTGCAAAAAATACGTATGCTTTCTCTTACAGTGTCTCGAAATGGAGTGTTTCAGGCATATTGTACAAGTGAAAGACTTTTTATTGACGCTCAAGGCTTCGCAAATACGATTTCGTCGAAAATAATTACCCGTCGCATCCCGTGGCTGCACCGGAAGCGTGCGAGGGAGGTCACTCCCCGATTCAAAGGTGCTTGCAGTCACTCTGCAAAGGTCACCCAGGCTTAGCCGAAATCGGCTGATGTATGGTATCGTTCGCAAGAGCATTGAACGACCAACACCTCAGAGGTAGTGCTTTTGAACAATGACGTCATCAGAATTTTTAAGCAAATTTCAAACAGGACTACTGCTACCACGCTGAGTGGGTCAAGCCGCTTTTTTCCTCTGGTCTACCCTAATTTTGACCTCACGGTTATTCGGAAAGCGGTCTCAGCGTAGAATCTCCAAGTGATAAAGATGTCGGACACACACGGCAACTAAGAAAAAATTAAATGAGGAAGTATTCTGTGACGGCTGACCTGTGCTAATTTTTTGAAAAACTGCCCCAACTTGGCTGAGCAGGGCTGTATTTTGTTATGCGATGGATTGGTTCTGTGCATTTATCATGGGGGTGTTCTACGAGAAATAAACAGTTTATTGCGGCACGGGCGGGTGTGTTTCGTGTACGTAGGAGTGTATTACGACCTATTAGTACGTCTACATATTGTAACAATACAGTGTAATATGGAATTATAAATGGATGCGAGCACTCTAACATTGACCGGTTCTGTTTGAAAGGAAAGCAGCTGATCGCGCTGCAGATGTTGCTGCACTTGTACAATACGCCTATGATTGAGCGCACAGTCATTACACAGCCGGAGTCGAGAAATTGTTGACATTCATTTGTACTGGACATTAAAATTAATTACAGTAACCATAATACGTACGATACATACGGGCTACAGATAAATTATACAGATTATTATGAGTGTCCAATATATACTGTACTTCATTGCAGTTTTGTTGGCTGACTTATTCTCTACGAGTGGTGAATAAACGAATTCATCGCAGTGGCCACACGATACCAGCCCGGTGACTCATTTTCGGCGTAAAGTTACATCGAATTTGTTTATCACAGGAATTCATTCCAGAATAAGACGCACCCATAGGACTGCGATAATTATACTGTACAGTGGTTGCGTTCTAAGCGCCAGCATCGCGCTTAATATGTGCAACCTGTACCTTTAGTCCTTTACGCAAGCAGTTAATCACCTGACTTGTAGGTGGGCCGTGGGATCACTTCGTACCACAAGGATCGTATTTTTAAACTTAATTTTCAGACGAATTACTATGATAAATAAATTCGATAGTCGATATCAAGTGCCAATGGCGGCCTTTTTGGCTAAGTTTGACTTCACCCATTTCAATCTTCAAGGTTTAGATACCGACACTGCGCCGCCTTTATAATGCATGACTTAGGTATTATTATTGTGCTAATTTAAAGTTTTAAAAAAGCAAATACTCTTTATAAGCTCAGCGGTGCAGTGCCAGTCTTCATGCGTTGTAATGCTTTAAAGCAAGTTGGCATCTAGAAATTTAGCAATGCAGAAATCAGCGCACAGCCATTACAGAAACTGAGAAATTTGGCATCGTTTAGACATTTCTAGAGACTTGTTCTCGATGTAATTCAATCAACAATTCGCGTTTGGTCTCCGCATTCGAGCGTGGCGCAGCTCGTGATCACCGTGACCTTTCATATATACTCGGTATCCCTGACCTTCACTGCCACCCGCAGTCACCCTTCTGGACCAGCAGTGTGATGGAAACGATGAGACCTTTGCTTCTCACTTCTTCTACGACTTTTCTGCGTTCTTCGTTCCCAGTATCGCCTGGTAATTGAATTACATTTATCGCTTATGCTGCCGTTTAGCGCATCCGAGAATGCTGATTCGACGGAATCTGATGTTGACACAAAATATTTACATATTCCGCTACACACTGGACGCTAGCTGATGTGGATTAATATTCCATCAGTAGGAAGTACTCGAGTACCGAGTGACTCCCAACGTATTCATGTAAAGACGTCACCGGTCACGGTCAAGCATGATGAACAATTCGAACATATCTACAAACCGGTGCGCATTCTAAACAATGTTTCGTATCGTTACGGGCGACTCGGCATCATGGCACAATGATCCCTCTTTAAGCGGCATATGGTCAACGGCAGTCGAAATATTCTAATCTGAATTGTTTGCAGCCAGCCGACACAGAGCCGTTGCGGTTCCGCTGCAGCGTATACCGATTGTGGCGTTGTTTACCTGGAACTTGACTTGATGGGAAATCAAGAATCATGTCGGCTGCCGAACGTTAGCTTGTATTCTATGCCAGACACCTACTTCCTGATGGGGCTCTCTGCATGGATACACCAGTACAATTATCGAAGGGCAGTACTTACACAATCCGCGGCATCGAAGCGGATGACATATGCAAGCGATATTGATGTACAATCGCAGAGCAACCTCCCGATGACTATGCGCATATGCAGAAACCTAAATCTTTGTAGAGACTGAGGATCGTCCAGTGCCCAGTACTCGGTGTAGTATGTATTAACATAGTACACCTGTACCGGTGCTTATATCAGCTAGGCACCTCATATCTAATTGGTTACTCAGTACTGTGTACAGTACTAGGACTGATGAAGGTTTGCGTGTGCGCACAATTAGATCTATGTGATTCATATTCTGATCTGTGCTGGACAACATGGTAATCCTGTCAATATTGACATTCGCAATGTACTTGGCGACTATCCTATCAAATGCCGCATGTACAGATATCAACCCGAAGACGATGCGTGGGTCACCTGCCGTCTCTAGCATCCCCGACACCGCCGCCGCCCCATCCACCGTCATCACCCCACCGTCGACAGTAGCTCCGCGGGCGCTGCCACCGGCCACCGCGCTAACCACGCCGGCGACCACGCCCGTCCCGATATCGTCAACGATAAGCGCGTCGACAACACGCCCCACCAATAGTTCTACGGATAGCCACCACACCAACACCGCCACGTCACAAATATCAACACCGACGCCGAGGACAAACGACTCCACACTGCCGACCAGCACCCACACGCCGGCAGCCACCCCAGCAACACCAACAACACCGACCACGGCAACGCCCACAACGACAACAGCAATAACGACAGCGGCGACGATCCCGACCGCACCGACACCGACTACCGGCACTCCAACGATCACGCCCCTGTCCACCACCATTCCCGTCCCGACCACCACGCGCCGCCGAAGCCGGAAAGGGACAAAAAGCGCTGGCTTCCTCCCAGACGTCGATTAATGGGATATAATTGTGCCGGGGTGCGCATCCCCCTGTGCTCTTACTTATCCGAAAGGCAATTACAACATAGTTTTTACACAACTTACAGTATATCATGAATAATTTTATTAGTTTTTATTTCTCAATATGTACAAGGCGAGCTTCGCTCAACAAATATGATCAAAGGAAGAGTTTGTCCCAATTAACATGAGAAGGGACTGTATGATTAATTTATCACTGTGCCAAGAGTTAACGTACTCTGATTTTTTACTACGTGCTTTTACTTATAACAGCTGTCAGCTGTTGAATTTGATTTCCGTCTGCATATACCAATTTGTGGTTGCAGTCTTTCCGTAAAATCCTCCGAAAATGGAATAACACCGAGTTGCACTGCAACACATAGTAGTACAAACAGAGGGCTGGACAGTGGACAGATACTGTATAGTTAGGTATACTGATGCAGTTGTTGAGTGGCTACTAGTGGTCTCCGTCTGTTGGAGGTCTGGCTATCTGCAAACCGCCACCGATTTCTCTGTTGTGCGAAGCAACCGTTTGCCGTAATAAAATGATCACAACTGTATACGTAGCAGGCGCACAGCTGACACCGGTTCAGTTACTCGTACTTACCTTCTACGACTATTAACTATTAACAGAAAAATATACAAAAATACCAAAATCAGCGAAGAAAATTTGTTATTTAATAAATAAACATAAACAAAATGAAGCGGCGTGCCAGAGAAAGTGGGAGAAACATTATTTTTGTTTTTTCTGAATTTCGTACAACCTCTGAGAATTTTCGAAGTGCGAGAATTGCGAGAAGTGCGAGAATTTTCTCGGCCAAAATATCTCTCGCTTTACAATGTGCCGCTTAATATAAAACGAGTTCATGACAAAACAACCAATCAGCGACCGTACATGCTGCCGTAGTTGAAGTTCTGCGGCTGATAGGGATAGTACACTGACTGGAAGGGCGACGCCGTGGTGGTCACGTTGGGGTGGTGGTCGTCGGCGTGGGCGTGGTGGGGGGCACGTAGCCGTCGTAGTCCCCGTTGTAGATCATGTAGTTCCCGCGGTACCGGTCCGTCCGCCCCACGAAATCCAGCCCGATGTACGGGTTCAGGAAGGGATAGCCCGGGAAGAAGGCCGGCCGCGCGAACTTCCCGAACCCGCCCATGATGCGCCCCAGTTGCGGGAGGTAGGGGTTGGGGCCCAGGGCGCCCACCGGCCCGAACGCTGGGGGCACCGGGCCGCTGCCCAACGGGAACCGGCCCCCCACCGCCGCGTTCCCGCTGTTCAGCGGCAATCCGGGCCCGGTGCCGTAGCCGTTGCCGTACGCGTAGCCGCCGTTGCCTTCCAGGCTGTTGTACGGTCCCGGACCGCCGTAGGCGCGGCCGGCGGGGGATTGGGTGTCGTCCTGGACGAGCTGGCGGTCGCTGGCCTGGACGGGGTCGTCGAAGCCGGGGGTCTGCTGGTAGATTAGGGAGGAGACGTCGGGGATGCCGGAGGCCGGGGGCGTCAGGCGGTAGCGGGTGGGGAGGGTGTCCGGGGTGTCCCCGGCGGAGGCGTCGTAGAAACTGGGGTAGTAGGGGTTGGCGGCGCTGCGCAGACCGCTCCACAGCATGTGCACCATCAGGACAACTGCGGGGCGCAGAAAAACCGGAGTGGAGATTAGTGGTTCTCACGGTGTGGCAGTGCTGGGAAAAAGCAATTAAAATTCAGTGACTTACTTGTGGAAGGAGCGGGTTGCAAGAAACTTGGCCAGCGCTGTATCCGCATGGTGTATAATTGTTATATAATGTTGTTATATAACTTTGCTGAGTCACGGTGACTGCGTATCGCCGTTCGCTTGTTCCTCGGTCAATAAGAAGAAGAGAAAAACTGTAGGTGAATGTTTTCGGGAAATTTTATGGAAAATTTTCAAGAGATCGTATAGTACAGAATTCCATCGGATCCACTGGGTCTTTCAGCGCGTGATATAAGTGCTCGGCAATTGGACGATATTGCCGATGTGCGAGAGTCGCGAGATGCAGCATGACTGCCGAGATTCTGCTGCTTTGCTGCAGCAGACTACACAACAATGACAATGCATCCGTGGCCTCGTTCTTTTCGATTCTTTCACGCCAGCAACTATGTCGAGCCATTCTGCTGAAGAACAGCAAGTAAACAGTGATGCCGGCACTTACATTATACAGTGCCGGTATTATACAGATACACGAGTACAAATAGATAATTATTGTACCTGGAATTAAGCCGCACCAAGTCAGCAGAGAAAGCAAGGGTATACTGCGCACTGCTGCTGGAAGCTGGACACGCTGCAAACCATCCTAGTAAAATTGTTAACGGAAGTTAGGAGCCGATGCTGAGCGTAGGAAACTGCCAGCTGCAGAATGGCTGCACAACCGGCACCTGGATTTTTTCACTGGCAAGCCGCTTAAAATTATTTTTACCGGTTATTATCGGTGCGTACGAAGTACGTACATACATTGCGCCGCAGCTGTCACTGTCCGGTCCGCGGCTATTGGCACAGGCCTGACTGGACACTCGACATTAATGGAAGAAGAGCAACAAACGACGCGCTGACACGGCGAACGGCCGGCTTATCATGCCCGCCCGCGGGCGTGTTATCACGGCGACCCCGCGTGTTGTCCTTTGAGCGTACAGTACGCGCACATCTTCGACTATGGTAATTATCGTGTCATCGTCGCCCGCGGCGTTCAGCTCTTCGATGGAAACAGAGATCTTGCATACCCGTACCCAACCTGGCATGTACTGTGATCAGGCGAAATAAGCATAAATATTCATACACAAAAATAATTACACAATAAATATAAAATGCACTAATTAATCAGTGCGTTAATTATCCGGCAGTTTGCTGACCATGTACTCTATAATTATATGATAATTATTATTACCTGTACAAGCAGGCACGTACAGATATGAGGAGTTTAAATCGATGCGTGTGTTTGCGTTCAAAAGCAAAATTTCCATTAACGGTTGACATCTGATGTGCGACTGCGAACGACTTGACTAATTTAAAGTATCATTAAAGCGATACGGTTTCCTTCGAACTGCGCCGTACGCCGGAGAACGGCCGGCATCAACAGGTGCATTGTTCTAAATTAGCACAGCTACAAGGCTGCATCGTTAAGCAGTGTAAAATCGCCACCGCTCCACCCGATGTGCCATTCGCGGCATTGTCAACGAAATCGTTTTGGTTAAAAATTAGATGCGGTAGCCAAAGCAGCTGTAACCGGGTGTAGATAGAATTTCTCCTTTACCCGAAAACACGAGGAACTGATCGTTTAGTTGCTGACCTGCCGTTAACGTGATCCCCATCCTTCGATCTCACGAAACGCCCAGGACCGGGCCCTATCATGGCGTCAACAAGGCAATTTGTTGTTCCTCTTCTCATCTTCACCTTGTTATTATGTAAGACATGAACTGACCACAACGTCGACTAATATAGTCTGTAGTTATTATTCAATTTTTAGGTACTGAATCTACTGATTACTAGGAAAAGGTCACTTCTATGCGCGTCAAGATTTTAGGCCGCATACCATATATAACTATAAACTGGAAAGTGTTGAAAATAGGATAGGAAAGTTTATTGCAATTTTTAGTGCGGATAGAACTGAAAATACACTACCAGTGTAGTAACATTAAAATAAAAATGTTACAGTAATATAAAACACTATTAAACAGTTACAGTATAAAAATGCTACAGTGACATAAAAATAAATAATGTGATAACCAAATTTAGGCGTTGCCATTATATTTGTAATGTAAATAAGATATTAATAAAACTTAAACAGTACCATGTTATTTATAAAATATTACTATTGATGGACAATATTATGGCAGTAAGTTAAATTATGCCGAAGAGGTGTATCTACTGTATACCGGCAGTGTTTGGTGTGCAGGTGATACGGTGTTTGCTGTGGGACCGGCCGGCGGGTCGGGACACAAAGCCCTCCCGCCCGTCCTCAAAGCCGGCAGCGCCAAGGACACCAAGACGGCGGTGAAGGCGGTGGAGAGTGTGAAGAGCGCGCCCGCGGCGGTGAAGCAGGCGACGGCGGCCAGCAGCACGGTGGCCTGCACGCCCAACATCTGGCCGGCCATCGGGAAGAACGGGCAGTGCGCCGCCACCAGCGCCCTCGACACGCAGTGCTCCATGCTGGAGGCCGCCGTGTCCGATGACTGCACCAACTTCGACGGCAACTGGTGCTGCTACAGTAAGTGCCACCGGCTATCAACAGCCGTGGAAAGTATCCCTAAATAATTGCCAGTTTTATTATTAGTACTTGTACATATGTACATCAGTTGATTAAGCAGATCCAGATAAAGTTAATTTCATGTACTTATTTAAATTTTGCTTTATCTGTTTATTTTTTCTTTATTTGTTATCTTTTATGTGTTTTTTAGTTTACTCCCGTATGATTTTACTTAATATAATTGACTATGTAAGTTGATCGTTTTAATGGGCAATAGCCACCAAGATAACAATGATTGCAAGCGCCAGTAGTTGCTAGTTAAAATTTAAACATTACAAAGCAACCAAAATCTCTATCTTCTCTTGGATTGAAAGGTAACGTGCTCAAGACAGCCGTGGCATTTCCTTGATCGTTTTACCCAGTTGATCGTTTTACCCAGATATCCTACTTTAATCTGTATTTAGTTGTACCTAAAGTATGTGTACAATAAGAAATAATTATTGGTAAAATTGCGTGATATTGCAGCACCGGCATTAGGCGGCGCCCCCGCTACCAGCGCCCCGATGGCGGCGGCCACGACGACCACCGTTGGAACTGCCACCACGACGGGCCGCCTCACCGGCACCAGCCAGGCTTCCAGCTCCACTACCACGTCCGCCCGCACGGGCATCACCGCCACCACCTACAAGTACAACACCAACAGCAACAGCAATAACATGAACACAAACAGCAACGTATACAACAATAATAACAACAACATGAACAATTATAACGGCAACAGCAACAACATGAACACCAACAGCGGCGCATACAATAATAACAACAGCAACAACTACAACGGCAACAGCAACAATATGAACACCAGTAACAACAGCAACTCGTACAGCGGTAATTACAACACCAACAGCAACAACACTAACAACAACAGCAGCAGTAATTATAATAATAACAGCAACAATTACAACGGCAACAGCAACAACCGCAACGCCAACCGCGGCAATATGAATCAGAACATGCGCGGCCGACCAATGCCCATGGGCGGTAATCGCATGCGCAACCGCGGACTAGACGATCAAGCCTAACACATCGCCACCATACGAGACGTAATTGTCCTGCCTCGCGTCGCTCTTACCAAATTCCTAGTGTTTCTAGTTTTCAATAATTACTTTACCATAATTATTCTATGGATGCCAGATTTTCGAAGCATACGTTGTATGTACGCAATACTGTTGATTTTTACAGCCTGGTGCTTGTACACGGAATTATGTATCTACGTATATGTACAGATTTCAAACATACTGTAACAATACTTAATTACTGTATGTAATTTATAAACAAGGATTTTAATCTAACTTGCAGTCTGGTATACGTGCAACCATGCTGTTGCATAAAATGGCCTTGTAGTCGCTATTATTGGCAGAAAGGTCATGGGAATAATTGCTGCGCGGTAGAGTGCGTACACGAGTACAATACATATCAGCCGCGTACAATGGAATTATGTATCTATATGTACAGATTTTAAACATACTGTAACAATACTTAATTGCTATGTATAATTTTATAAACATGTACATGTACGAGCGTGTCCCGTAATTTCTAACGCAAAGGTGCAGATAGCACGTATTAAGCGCTATGAGCGATCGCAACTACAGTACTACGTACGCCACAATAACCAATTTACTCCTCTCAAGATTTAAGGCAAACAAAATTATACAAAGAAAAGACGTTGGTATTTCATAATTTATCTGGATAGTTTCTATGTTTATCACGCATCGGCCATGCCAAATGCATGTCGAGAGTATACCGCTTTCGCGTGGTGCACCGTAGAATGGAGTTTGCGCGTAACCCGTGGAATTTTCTTATTAAATTTTGTTTATAAAATATTGTCCGTCAGTAGTAAAAACCACGACTGGAATAAAGACATATCATCGTCTGTGCGTGTATTTCGGCGGAGATCCTGCGCACTGTACCATACACGGGGCAGATACTGTATAATATTATAGGATGGAGTGATTGAATTGAATCGGGTGGCGTGCAGTTGATTTGTGGAGTTTACTTAGCGGACGCCCGGGTAAACATGGCCCCGCTTAACTCCAATCTCATTGATTTACAATATCCAATCTCATCCCGCTCCCGCTTTCCCAGACTCCGTCGCGGGCCATAGAACATCCTATGATATACCCACGACTCGTTGTTACACATACAGATATGTCAGTGTCTTCCTCGTTTCCTTCCACACCAACGTTTATCTCTTCCATATTCATATATGCCTTTTTCTACATAAGCATATACAACGAAACAGCGCTGCGCGTCCTAGTTAAAACTTTTATAACGATCGCCGGCATCGATCCGACCGATTGCCGACAAATTAATAACCGCAAAAAATGTCCGTTCAGGAAGAATAAACAGTCGTCTTTCATAAGAAAATAAATGCTTATTAATGTGGAGACTTTATAGTGTTTTGTAGCGCGGGTTGTTGGCAGCAAAACACGCATTAAAATTACATGCACACACTCTGTTGCATAATTTATTATATCCACGCACGCTGCGCGCAGTAATAAACCGGGGGAATCGCGTTGTTCGGGGATGCAGCGACAAGTTAACGAGCCGGGAAACATCCGTTAGCGCTGTCGCTCCGTGCGCCATTATTCACTATCAACAGCACTGTACAGCGCTCACTCTTCCTCGTTTTCGTACAGCGTACGGGCACTACACAGCGGAAGTTGTGCTGTACGCTGCGGCCCCACCAAACCCGGCGTTATTTGATTAAAGGACGCGCAGTGGCGTTGTATCTACAATATACTCGGGCTCACTACGTAGTGCGTATAGAGGACAACATGTCGAGCACTATGACAGCACAACCGGCAACTTGTTATTTATTCGGGGCTTTTGTGTATGGAACGTTAAAGCGGATAAAAGGCCAGCGTTGCCGAGTGCAGTGAATAATTCATCGTGTAGTTATGAGATAAGGATGTTTGGCGCGCTGGTGGATGGCCTGGCTGGCGGATATCCGGCCGGGTTGAACAACTTCTCGCGTACTGGCGATTTTCCTGTGTAGCGTACATAAAATCGGAGCGCTGCGTATCGTGTACAAATCGAGGCATTCGACTGTCTATATATACAAAACGCCAGGCTCGTGCGGAATCTCAGTTGGAGCCGGAGCTAATCTGCATAAAGATGAGCGCCAGCCAGTGAAGCGCATGCACAACGGCAGGCCCGGCGTTCTGCTCCGCTGGCTACATGTGGCCGGGGATGAAAAAATCGGGATATGGATACATATATCTCTCCATGTATGCGCCGATATGATCCCGGCATGATCCCCGCCATTTGGCAGCGGGATTACCGCCGAACCCCCGGCTAATCAGGCGCGACCGGCCGACTGTTGGGTCTAATTTGTCACTTCCGGGCTGCATCTGACACATTCCGCATTATCCCGGGCGCGGGACGGGGACGGGACGCATTACGGGTATTAAAAGCGTTGCGCTTATCATCTGCCGTGCATTGCCGGGTTTTATATATAAGGAGCGTGTTGCCGGCATAATCTGCCAGCGCCCGCTGTAATTGCGTCGATTCTTCCGCGTTTGTTTGCTCGTTTGCCGCGGCGCGCCACCTGGACGTGTTTGTGTATACATCTGTCTCATATAAAACGCTACTTGACTGCCACTTCCCCGCCACAATACCGTCGCGCCACTTGATCGCGCCACAGCCTTTTCCCGGCACTTTCTGACGTAAGTCTCTTGTTTATACTACAACCATAATAAGTGTACATAAGTGGCTACAAATGAACGTAATTGTGCACGTATCCCGGTGTCACGCAGCGGCCGTGTTGAGGCCTGATAAAAAATGCAGAGTGGTTAGTTATCGTGTTTGTATATATCCCTGGAGATGCGCGGCCCCGGCCGATCAGGCGCTACTTATCCGTGTCAGACTCATTAGCCAATCAGGCACGCAACGCCACTGTTTCTAATATATCTAACGCCGCAGCCGTCGCCGCTTTTTCCAGCGGATGGCTGTAGGTTTAATTGCGTGCGCGGATATCCCTGGGATCGATGGCGTTGGCTGGCGCTGATGCTGCTGCAGCGAGTCAACAGATCAGTAAACACAACATTATACTAATTGATCGCCTCCGACATCGACGCGTGCAGCGCACTGCCCATTTAGCCGGCACCGCGCGGATATATGTCGCTGCTTATCCAGCGCCCTGATTAAATTCTCCCACGGCTGCGCTCGCTCTCTCTCCCCGTCCACAGCCGATTCCCGGGAAATCCGCGTCAGCTGTATATATGCAAATGCTGCCACGTATTTTCCATTAAATGCCTTAACGCCTTCCGCGCTGCCAACCGGCACATTTCCGGCATAATTACCGACGCTGCAGTGTCAGACTGTACTTGTAAAATGAGTAGGGAATCGACCAGTCGGTCCGCGGTGGAAAAATTGAATAATAAAATCAACAAACAGAGTACAACAGGAATACATATCCTATGCGTAGAAAAATTACTACGGCCCGCTACGCCATACTCTGGACGCGTTATGTGCATTTGACATGGCTGATGCACGTCAAATATTGATATCCTATAAACAATTTATCGTAAAATCGAAGAATTTATCAATTAAATTTGGTAATAGTAATAATTCACTAGAAAAAAATTTATTATGCGATAGTTGTAGTGTAGTGGTTTCTTTCTACGCTTAATATGTGCTACCTGTACCTTTGCGCAAGAAATTAACCACCCGGCTTGTGTTTTTTTATATATTATATATATGTGCATATATATACAGCCGTGACCTTTTGCTACTTATATATCGAGTACCGGGTAGCGAATGATTGTCAGTGTGTTGGCGCACTCGTCCTCCCCGTTTCGAGAGGCCGATGAATGTATCCCTACATCCGCCTCGACGAGTGCCAGCGCTGTCTTTTTTTCGTCCCATCGATTCGCGCGACGGGAACATGATCAGGCGCCGTTTGTCCTCTCTAATCCAGCAAACCGGCCAATTGCTGGCTCTTGGCGCCTGAACACCGCGCGGACCGGGGTAATCATGGCCCGGCGTGAGAGCGGACGCGGACGCTGGTATTAATCTGGTCGGTGCCCGGACGGATTACTCCATCCCGTGGATAAACACACTCGGCCTTAATTATCACCATCCACACATGTACGGTGTTTATATATGAACATGGTGGTTGTACAGTAGTGCCGGGTTGGTTAACCCGCCCTCATAGTTTAGCGTTTTTTCCCTCCCGGTTTCCCCGGGGAAATCCCGGATGACACGCGTCGAGTGACCCGCCGCGCACTCTGATGCGCAAATAATCAACTTCCTCTTTTTTCCCATACTATATCACTCCCGCTTGAAATACTATATTCATTTTTAACAGGCGACGATCGACCTATCGTAAAGGTACAGATAGCACGCATTTAGCACGAAGTTTGCGCTATGAACGATTGCCACTACACAGTCTACACTACGTCTACCACAATGACATCATTCCCAGGTTTATGTTAATTACAAAGAGGAAAAGTTAATAATATTTTGTAATGTATACTTCGCTTTTACTCGCGTTCCGACCGCTTACAGATTACACCTTCACGTTCCGTCCACCCGATTGCATTAGTAGCCCCTGCAGTGAGCGGCTACGTGGTTATTAACAGCTAACTGCACAGTTCAGTTTGTTTTCCCCAGCACGTAAAACTTAAAAAGTAAGTACGTTTTTTGGACGCACTGAAAGCGAAATCGGCTGACAAAAAACACCTCCAGTCAAAGAAACCGAACAGTTCGAAAATTAAGTGACGAGTCTTTCACATGCTGGTTAAATTTTATTTTTACGGTGATTAATTCTAGTAAATTAAACCAACTAAGGAATTTGTGATTATTAACTAAATCGGTGATAATTCCTCGTTTTTTATAGCAAACTTTTTGGATGGATTCGTTGATCTCTAAATTATTCTTTAAAACTTTGTTTTGTGATAAATTTTTTTGTTGTTCCTTGTTGCTTTCGGTCCTGAAATAAACGGTCTTACTGGTTAAAAATTATCTGTATGGTATTATAAATTTTTATGTGGGCCCATGCAGGGAAACTGAAATGGTGGGTGGACGGAACGTGAAGGTGTAATCTGTAAGCGGTCGGAACGCGAGTAAAAGCGAAGTATCGATAGTTTGCAGTTCAGGTCGGATTTTGGCATGCACCAACCTTGCAAAATGCATGTAGAGCGTAAATAGTGCGGCGTTTCGCGTAACCCGTGAATTTAAAGTGCAGAGCTAAAGACGATCGGCCCATAATGAGACTTTTGATACATCTGAACGCATATTATAAACTTTTTGGAATTTTCTTACAGCCATAACGTCCGAACTAAATGCAGCGGGCCGATGAGCAGCGCGGTGTCAGAATATTCAGGAAAAAGCCGGGGTTACATAACATCGTTATATCGTTATATACGAAATGTGGCCGGTGCAGCGCGTAATTAAGGGCGTTAATGCGGCGCTGCTGGGCCTGCGCGTTGCCTCTTCCCTTCCCAGGGGCGCGCTGACGTTGCCGGTTGCACGACGGGGTAATTGCGGCCAATCCGTTGGACGCCGCGGGCGGTGGCCCAGGCCGGGCAGGAAGCTGTCAGCGCCCCGCGGCCGCTGCTGCGTCCCTCTAAACGGTCCTGGCATTGTTGCCAGCCGGCGCACAAAAGAGCGCTGATGTTTCGCGTGACGGGAAGCGAGTGTGTTGTGTGAACACTGTATACACGCGCGCCGGATGCGCTGCGTGCGTCGCTGACAATGGCCTTACGTGCCTGACAAAAAAGGGGCGGCGTTGCTGGCGGGTACACCCGCCGCCGCACAGGCAGGATGAACACGCTCCGGCGTGTGTACATTGCGCGTTGTTAAGAAGTGCAGGATGCCCGTTTGATGGGTGTTTGTGTTGGCCGTGCGGAGCGCGATGCGATGCAACATTCTATTTTTATATCCGCCACTTGTACGCGGATACACTGACAGTTGACACGCGCATGCTTTACAAAGGTCACAATTGCGCCTTAATCGCTGCGTGCAATAAGGCATGCCAACAAGTTTATCTTTCGCGCCGCTATATATATAAATTATCCAACGATAAATTTTTTTAATGCAGGAATTGAATGGCCGGATTATATTTACTGATCGTCGCGGTGACTACCTGCGGATGTTAATCGTGTAGCCGGTATGTTTCTGCGCATTTCCCTCATCTGGATGCTGGCCCACTCGCGGACGCACCGGCCGATAATGGTGCGGCTGTGGCTGCTGGGGACGCTGCTGCTCAGCGGGCCGGCGGCGTGGACGGCCGCCCGCGGGGTGGGGGCGGGGGCGCGCAGCAGCAGCGGCGCCCTGGAGGGCTGCCAGCCGTCGGCGCTGGTCTTCTGTGAGATGCCGGTCATTGCCTCGCCCTCCGACCAGGAGGACACCTTCAATGCCTTCCCCGGCGAGGAGTTCCGGCTGCCCTGCCAGGTAACACACCGCCTCTGTAATTACATCGAAACCTGAACGACACTCTTGTACTTTTTAATTTCCAAGCGGCGCGACAGTCATGTACAAGCCCGGTGGTTAATTTCTTGCGTAAAGATAGAGCGAGAAATACAGATTCAGCGGTTATCTTGAGCTCCATACCACGGCCCGCCACGCCACCCTTTCTAGGCGTTACGTGCATTTGGCATGACTGATGCACGTCAAATACTGACATCGTGTAAAAATACTTATCGTAAAATCCGAGAATTTATCAATGGAATTTATTTATCACAATGATTTATTGTAAAATTAAATTCATCGTTGCGATACCTGTAATGTAGTGATTGCTTTTTAAGCTCCAGCATTCGCGCATAAAGTACTCCCTGAATTGTACGTAAGAAATTAATCATCCGGCTTGCACGGAAGTATTCCTTTTATTAATCGTATTACATATTTTAGTTTTAAATGCCGGAAAGTGAAAAAATTTATAGCAATATTATGTGCGAATAGCCATAACATTATTATACAGATACAATTTATCATACATTTTTTAAATACCGGCGTCTTAAAGTTATTACGATAAGAATTTCTAACAATTATAAGAGACTGCGAATACTGTATGAAAATACCGAATGCCGCACAAATGCTCTGCTGTTATTAATGTTAATACCATTTTTGCATATGACAAAGTAATAAGTCGAAACAGAATTTTAGGAATTTTTTTCTTATCATTATTATTACGGCACAAGAGCAGACAACCCCGAAGGGACTTCGAGTCTGGCTGAGCAAAAAACAATTTGTGTATTGCTGTTGTTTAGTGCTGTCGAACAGAGAACAATACTTATTCGTTGTGCTGTTCATTTGCCAGTTAACTGCCCGCGCTATACAGATGAATTAATTGTAGCAGGGTAGCATATCGTCCATATATAGCAGGGTATATTAAAGTTGTAGCACGGTATGCTTATTACATAATTATAAATTGCCGATGAAATGTGCTAGAATTGCTAAATTCGTACGTACAATTTTATGACAATTATTGTATATACTTTGTATATCGTGCAAATATATATATATATGCCGACAAACTGCGAGAAACCGGTACCGGTGGGTAACCGGTAGAAGTAAAAGATTAACCACGAAACGCCGGTGATACGTTGAAATGCTATTGATATTTCGCAAAATGTCAGACATTGACGACCATGGTATCGGTTGTTGTTGTGGCCTTTCTGTAAATTCTAATGCGAACAGAATTAATAATAGCGCGGGAGCCGATAAAAACGGAGAAATGTGTTGATTAATTATGAGTGGCGCGCGGGCGACGCGCTTAATCGGCCGCATGTCAAGCTGCACAACACCCCAGTAAACCGGGGCCGCGTCAGGCCGGTACGGGAAATTAATTGCGCTGATAGTCCCCGGGGGAGCGCGCGTGTCGCCCGTAATCAGCGTCGCCACCCGTCCCGTGTGCGGGCGTATTTGCTGCTAATCGGCCGCCTAATCGTCGGCCGCCTAATCTTAACCTTGCGCTGCTTGACAGGCCTACGGATCGCCCTCGCCGCTCATCACGTGGCACCGCGTCCTGGCCAACGGGGAATCCATCCCCCTGCCGCGCACCGCCCCGCCGCCGCCCTCCACCGCCGAGCCCCGCCCCCTGGCGCCGCCGCCGGCCCCCGCCGCGGGGTCGCACTACGTGCGCAACGAAGCCGGCACGCTGCGGATCAGTCACGTGGTGCCGCACGACGGCGGCGTCTACTACTGCGTGGCGGAGAACAGCGCCGGCACCGCCAAGGCCCTCGTCGATGTAAAGGTCAGTGTGGCGTGGCCATTAGTCCTAATGATCGCGCGCACAACCTAATGATCCGCCTAATCTCGCACGCCATTAGCGCAACGATCATTCGGCTTTATAGAAAAACAAGTAGATACTGCGTTTTAACGCATACTGCACGCAGAGCAGCGCTTCTCTGTTTTTACGAGCCGCGATTGGATATATTCTTGATGCACGATTTTTGCTGATTTTAATATTCTATTTTAAAACGGCGAACCGACCGGCCGATTTCTAATTTTTAATTTTAGAACAAGTAATTAATTAATAACATATATAAATATAAATAAATTACTATTGATAAAAATATTTACAAATTTGTTCAGTTAATCATACAAAGTAAAATAAAAAAAAGGCCGTTTTGACGCATATTGCGCAGATAATCGCTTCCCTGTTGGAAACCCGTGGTGGCGATTTATTCACTTTGGACGTGTTCTTGTTGCGCACTGTTTCTTGATTTTATTATTCAATTTTTCAACAGCAAACCGGTTTTTTTCGTCGTTCGTTAGGTATCGCACCCCTCGTCAACATCCTCCCGCTGTCGGTGGGCGACACCTACGTCGTCATCACGTGGAACGGCACCGTCCACGTGCCGCACCTCGGCGCCACCTCCCCGCCCCGCGGACGCCACTACCACCACGTGGAGACGCGTGTCCGTCTCGGCCGGCACCTCTTCCTCAAGTACCGCCGCTACCGGCCCACTTCCGGGCCCTCCGACACCCTCCCGGGCCTCCACGTCATCCGGCTGGCGCCCCTCTCCCGGCAGCACCGCGTCAGCGCTCTCGCCGCCAACACCCTGTACGAGTTCTGCATGGAGTTCGAGCCGCACGGCCGGCCCAGCACCCTCCTGGACTGCGTGACCCTGCGGACCGCCGGGGCCCCGGAGACCCTGGACACGGGTCGCGGCTATCACCAAGGCCGCACCATCATGTTCGTGCTGCTGGTGGCCATCGTCGCCAGTGTGGCGTGCCTGTGCTTCGGGTGCTACGCCATGGCCATCGGGCGGAAGCTGTGGAAGTACCGCAGTAAGAAGGGCTTCACGGCGCTCGGCTACTCGGAGGAGGCCGACGCCGCGGCGGACCCGGAGGTCCCCGGAGGGCGGCGTCGGAAACCCTACAGCGCCACCGTCAACCACCGGTTTCCGTCGACGGACGCCTGTAACTACGCCGACGCGGGCGGCTACCAGGAGGACAACCCCAAGAAGCCGCTCATCGCCCGTATATAACCCGGGAGCGCGCTTACCGCCACGGTCTTTCCCGCCAATTAAATCTGCCTTTGAGTTGTACATAAAATGCCCGCGTCATTACATTCCAAGCCTGGTTATCACTGGTTATAAACTCAGTTAATTGATGATCTCAAACCAAATATATCTATTTTCGTTTGCGGTGCTTACTTTAATGTAGTCTGCTTTTTTATATTTGGTACGTTTAACAAAACTTGGGTACAGCGAGACGCAGCGAACCGGTAAAATTGCGAAGTGCTTACCTATATATGAACAAAGGTCATCGGCATTATTATGCATAAAGGTCATAGTTATTTATATGCACAAAGGTCATCGTCATATTACATTTTAGCACAAAAGTCACTGGAATATACTTCGCTTACTGCCTTATATGGGCTCCCCTTATATTACTCTACCTTATCTGGGCTCCCGGCTAGTGAGCAATACCCGTCAAATTATTTATCGGATTTATAGCAGAACCCTTTTCTACTTCTTTCAACCGGATTTACAAGTGAGCACATCAAAGAATTCCGAAATTTCACATCCGAATTATATTTATATAATTATATTATCTACATATATTTTTCATTAATTTCAACCGGATTTGCCAATGAACAAACTAAAAAATGCCACAAACGTTGATACAAACTCAATGCTACAAAAGTACTGGCGAAATAAGTATTTCAAGTACATACATCTAAATTTTCATTCAGTCATACACTGATAACAGCTGCAAAACTGTGAGTAATAACGTAACCGCCAATGTAGAGGGTTGCTCATATTGCTCGGGAGCCCAGATAAGGGAGAGTAATATAAGGGGAGCCCATATAAGGCAGTAAGCGAAGTATAGATATGCAAAAAAGGTCATCGACATATTCTTACATATGCCCAAAGGTCATCGCCCTTAGTATTTGCACAAAGGTCAAAGGTTATCCTCTTCTATTACTTCTATTACGGCAGATCACTGACTACAGCCGGGTAAAATCTGTTGATTAGAACGCAGAGAAGAACAATTAATACTGCTACAATCACGAGCGAACCGAGCCGGCATTGAACACACGGCGACTATACAATCCACAGCGAAGCAGGTTGAAGCGGTGCGTGCAGCGCGGCGGATACTGCGTCCGCCTCCGGAAGCGACCGTTTCGGCCTTCGTACGGCTGCCGGCACGGTGCGGTTGGAGGGACCACTGAGGACGCTGATGCGGCCGGGCACCTGGCGGGTGATCTTGCGCAGGTCGGTGGGCAGCCGGCAGAATGGGTCCAGGTTGCGGCCCATGCAGGCGCCGAAGTCGGCCGCCGAAGCCTGGCACAGACCCACCCGGCAGTGCACGAAGGCCGCGCCTGTGGACTGCCCGCGGAAGCGGAAGGGGGTGAAGGCGTAGCGGTAGCCGAAGTGCGTTGCGGTGAAGAGGAACTCCAGCTCCGTCGACAGGTCGAAGAAGCACCTGCAGGTCACAGTTAGACGTTACATGGAACCGTTCATGGCAACTTCATACATTCGGCGTAATGTCTCATGCAAAAAAAACAAAAATACCGTATTTAATCGAAAAAACGTCCGTATAAAAACCTGACAACCGTACGTATACCTCGTACTTAAAAACATAATTATTATTATCAAAATGTATTATAAAGACATAAAATACATAAAACATACATAACAATACATAAAAAATTAAATACATAAAGAATACATAAAAAATAGATAAAATACGTGCATGCATAAAAACAGATAAGAATGCATAAAAAATGTGTATTAAATTATGAAAATATGTTAAAGAAATTAATAATGAAGCAGTATATTATACCGAATACACAGTGTACATCAGTACATATACAAAAAATATTGAGTTCAAAAAATAATCAATCAAAAAAGTTCAGTGCAAAATACGCAAAAATATAAAAATAAGAAAACTTTAAAAAATGCAGAAATTTGTCTAAGGAACACAGTGCGAGTCATTATGAGAATAACATGAGAATAAATATTGAGGATGTACGAAATGAATGCCTCACCCCCTGTGAATGAGGTCGTAGCGCAGCGGATCATCGGCATTATCAGTGTACGTCGCCCAACACGACTCCACGCGGATATCCCAATCGGCTGAATCCAGCCCCTCGGCCAGCACGTCGAAGGTGTACTTTCCAACAGCAAAGTTATTCGTTGGCACGCGCAAACTGTTTACCAAACGAATACAACATCATCAAATGAAAGATATATGCAATAATATTTCCGGCACTTACACAGCATTCTCGTGACCTTTCCCGACAACATGGCTCTTTCCAGCGGCCAGTGCCAACGGCTTCCCCAAACTGATTCTTTTGCTGTTTCGTACCCTCTTGGCAACGTATTCTGTAGGCGGACTGATTCGCCGGCTCGACGACGGGATGATCCAGGAGGTACTGGACAGGGAAGATATCCGGGATCTCCACCACCGCCACGCATTCGACATAGCGCCGTCCGTCCTCCTCCCCACTGACCACGCCGCACGCCCCCACTTTCCCGTCGAGACGGTGTGACCCGGCGCCCGCCTGACACCCGGGAGCCTGTTGTCCGTAGAACCCGGTCAGGGCGTACCGGGAGTTGGCCTCCCCGTACCGTACATCCAGCTGCAGCTGGAGGTTGTCGGCATCGCAGCTGACCTGCACCGTCACCGGATACTCCGGCTCCTCCTCGTCGACACACTGCGGGAGGTCCATAAACATGATGGGCATCCCGAGGCACTCCAGGGAGGTGCAGGGGACCTCCGTCCCCGGCGGGAGGTCGGGCGTCGTGTCGCAGTACGCGTAGTTGGCGTCACAGTAGTACTGCATGAAGGGATCGACCGCCGGGTTGACGTAGACCCCCGCCAAGGGCGACGGCGAGCGGCCCTGGAGGTCGTGGATCAGGGACTGTAGCGCGCAGTCACACTGCATGCGATTGGCGATCAGCTTCAAACACGTCAGGCGCGGGAGGTCCTCCAGGGTCGACCGTTCCAGCGCCAGGTGTTCGGCGACGTAGTTGATGGCAAGGAACTCCAACGCCGGGAGCCGGAAGTACCTGGCGAAGCTCCCGAGAACCGTGGTGTAGTCCCGGTGGACGGTGTGGAGGAACTCCAGCTGCAGGATGGCCAGGTTGGGGAGGTGGTCGAAGAAGGAGGGTTCGACGATGGAGGCCGGCGCGTCCAGATACAGGAAGAGGCTCTGAACGCGGGCGGCGGCCGCCGGCGGGAGGACGTCGCCGTTCAGGTGGATGACGGAGTTCTCCAGCTTGGTCTGGTAGAGGCCCACAGGAGGTTGAGGTTGAGGCGCTCGTGGGGGTCCTGGTTCTGGCCGACGTAGGCCAGGAGGAGGCGCGGATGTGGGCGGGGTCGGCGTTGGTGCAGGTCAGGTCGGTGACGCTGCCGACGCCCGCGGTGCGGTCGGCGCAGCGGTAGATCGGGGAGAAGGTGCAGAACTCCGAATTAAGGGCCGTGAGATCCCGCTCGGGGGCGGGGCCGATTTTACAGTTCTCCAGCATTTTATTCCCGTGCGAAATAAGGGATATCGGTTTGGCCGTGGACAGGCCACAAGCGGCCGCTAAAAATACCACAATTTTCCACATTTTTTCTCGGGCAAATTCACGGTTAAAAATGTGGATTAGAAACAAGAGCAATATCCGGGTTGCAAATACAAGTAAACTGTGCGTCAAATGTGGGGAAAAGTGTTGAACAGTAAACGACTACTTTCCGGCTTATCAGTTACATTTCACGGATAACGGTTGTATCGGTCGGAATGTTAGGGGAAATAAGCCGTGTTTGTCAGCCTTTGGCAGGCAGTGCGGGCCACGTGCTGGAGTCCGGCTGATAAGCGCTTCCTAGTACGCGAACTGATTGCTAATGCAATTATGAGGACCTTTGCATAACCTTGCTGGGCAGCCTGCTTATCAGGTGTTATTGCTGGCTGTTTGCTCAAGCCACTTGTTCCGCGGTCAATCGCTCTTGTCCCCGATTGTCTCACGCACTGATACAGCTGCCAAGAGAAGCATATACAACCGACCAATCAGCTATGAGAGCGCTGTACGTGTCACGGTACGTACGCAGCACCAATCAGCCAGAATGCGCGTAAGCAGTCACTGCCGTCTCTGGGCGGTCGGCTGTGCCCGCGGCAAAATCAGTGCAGTATTAACTGATTCTCATTAAATCAAAAAATTTAATTTGTGTAAGAAAAATATTATTATATTATTAAAATTTACTGATTTAAGTTATTGACTTATTAAATATTTAAATAAAACTTTTAAAAATTGTAGAACGAATTTTTTGCATATTTAGAATTATAACAATACTAATTCTGTTACAGTACTTTGGAAAAAAATGTAGATTTTTTATTAACCAGTAGAGCAATCATTGCAAGAAGCTGATGAATTTTTTCTTTTCTTAATTTGTAGAAAATTTCACTTAATTACAGCGCAGTCTGGTTCAAAATCTTATAATTTATTGCACATTAGCGAAGTACAGTGTAAAACAGGGCAATTTTGCCAAAAATGCATTATTTAAAATGGTATGGAATAAAAATAGGAGCGCTGTCCGCGATTGGGTCCCACGACGTCACTGCCGCGTTGTCCGGGATGCCGACCGTTGTCGCGCATCTCCATTGCCTGTGGGGCGCCGTTGACGGTCTGTCCGACCAGGCGGCCGTTGTCGTAGGTGCTCACCGTCTCCACGCCGTTCTCCACCACACTACAATACCGAAAATAAATTATCTACCGATCCGTCCGCCCGCGGGAGGCGTCCACCCACCTCCGGACCGTCCGTTCCTGTCCGTTGACGATCTGCGTGGTGACCCGCGTGGACGACACCAAATTACTCCAGGGCCGCGGGCCCCCGCCCGATCCCGACCAGGAGCGTGGGAGGTCCCCCGGGGAGCGCACCGGCGCCCGCGACGTCTCCGCCTGGAGGTCGGCCATCATCCCGGCCTGCGCGAAGAACTCCCGGAAAAGCTCGAAGGGGTCGCGCGTCATCCCGAAGCCCGGGAAGAGATCGCCGAAGGGCGACGTGAAGGCGCCGGGCGTGAAGACGGTGAAGCGGTGGTGGCGGGGCGGGGCGTCGCTGCCGGAGCGGGAGGCTCCGCTGGGGAAGCCGGCCGTGGCGCTAAAGCCAGAGCGGGAGCGCGAGGAGCCGCCGCCTTTGCGGTAGGCGTCGTAGTCGCGGCGGCGCGTCTCTGTTACCAGTTAACACAAATGTGTCTATATACGCGGGTGACCTTTGAAAGAGGTCGGACGTACTATCGCTGAGGACTTCGTAGGCGTTGCTGATCTCCTGGAAGCGCTTCTTGGCCTCCTCGGCGTTCTTCGGGTTCTTGTCGGGATGCCATTTCAGCGCCAGCTGACGATACCTGGGGGCGGAGTTAAAAATTAAAATTAATAATCACATTAAAATTGCAATCATTAAACAAATTTAGACTAAATTAAATACAGCTAAATTAAACTTTCTAAATGAAAGGTCAACGACTAATCCAGCGTATAATAAAACTGAAATAAATGCGCAATATTAAAAGTAAGTTCAAAATAAATTAAATACAGTCAAACTGAATTAGCAATTAATCAAAATAAAATTCGCCATGACAAATTAGCCAATTTTACAGGTTTCTATTTAGCGTGCTGCGATGGTGATAAGTGAAAGGTCAACAAATAATTCTATATATCCGGCGCATGTACCCACGCTTGCTTGATCTCGGCGTCGCTGGCGGTGGACTTGACGCCCAGAATCTTGTAGAAATCGCTCATGGCTCAACCGTACTCCATGTTCTATTCGTCAGTCGCTACATCGGGGTCCCCATTTCCTTCACAGTTTAATACCAATTGCTCATCATCGTCCTGGCGCGATTTATACGGACAAACTGATACGCCGGAAATTAATTTTGCCCTCCACTAATTAAGCCAGCAATATTGAAATTATCTTATATTACAGTCGAAACGTTTTTCCCAGATTTAAGTTATTTAACTGTTTAAGGCAGTATTTGGAATGGTCTTATTAAGAGTCTGAACAACATTCACCAAATTACAGTGGTGTTGAACCTGCACATACTGAGAGCGGTTGCTAGGGTTAACCGTCTGGCTGTTTCCCGTTTGGAAATCGAATTACGACGCGTTTGTCTATGCGTTATGAAGACAGATAGACCGGTTGGCTTGGCGTCAGTTTGCTTCCCAACAACGCATTTTACAACTTTGAATTTATTTTTAAACGATTTTAATGCAGTTATTGAGAAAAACTCCGTTTTTGGGACGAAATATAAGAAGGGAAGGAATTAGAAATTTTTAGCATAAAACTGGCATTACGCTGCCACGCCGAGCGGTTGCAATGGCGTCAACTACCGGACGCATTTGTATTTTCCTCATTTGTAGTTGTCTTCTTAAAGGCTTGCGCAAAACATGAATTGTTTGATAGAGGAAAGTGATTTCTACAGAATGCAAATCAGCGATCAAACGTGAAAAGCGTTAATGCAGGCTGCAGAGCGCTGGGTTTTCCCGCGTTACGGAAAGCGGTACCCGATCGGCGAAAGTAAAAAAGGGAAAAATGAGCCGGTAATGATTGTCGCAAGGGCAACCGCACGCGCGCTGCAACTCCTTTACCCGGATTCGGTTAGTTACCCGGTAAAAATTGCGCCGTCATCAGCGTTGTAATCAGCAATACTTGGCCATTGTTATTCGCTTGTCAGCGGTGTTCGGCATGACTGCGACGAGTCGCTGCTCAAACAGCAGTCGCACGTGTGCTCAATATGTGTACCTATGCATAGCTGGTGAATCAATCATAGACAGACGGAGGCACACATTTCACAACAGTACAGTAATATTTATCTTTCTCTCACGGCGCTTGCTCACATATTTTGGAATGAATTTCGGGACGATCAATATTATCGCCCGCATTTCTCGTACATGGCCGCTGTAAACCAGTGCCTGAAATTAGCTACCAATTAAATTGCCGCCATGCTAATCAGCGTCAGTCTGTTGATCGGAACTGCGGCGTTCCTGGCGGCGCTGCTGTACTGGCTGCAGCGCCGGCCGCCCGCGGGAGCCGCACTACCGCCGCAGCCGGTGGGCGGTTGGCCGCTGCTGGGCCACCTGACGCTCATGTTCAGCCGGCAACGACACCGCCGCATCCAGGCGGCCGGCAGTCGCCTGGGCGGCTGCGTCACCCTCACTCTCGGGTCCAGGTAAAGAGCTTCATGTAACCTGCGTTGCGAGGTGGTCGGTGCATCGCTAAGTATACGCAGCTTCTTTTTATGCGTCCAGGCGGTCGGTGTGGGTCACCTCGTACGAGTACTTCCAGGAAGCCGTCATCAAGCACGCTTGGGAATTTGCCGGACGCCCGCCGGAAATGACCAGGGCTGGTGTCGGCGGGAAAGCGCTCGGTACGTTGAAATTGCCAGGGTTTTTTATTTAGTTTAATTTAATTAGGTTGATTTTGATTGCTACAGGAATCGTGGCCGGCGGCGTCAGTGAGGAAGAGCGGGAGATCCGCAAGTTCACGCTGATCAGTCTGCGCAGTTTCGGCTTCGGCAAGTCCAGCATGCAAGGGACGATGCTGCGCGAGGCCGACGAACTGGTCAACGCCTTCCGCCGCCACTGCCCCGCCCCCTCCGAGGGACCGCCCCGCCCCTTCAACCCCCGCAGTCCTCTGGCCAACGCCGCCGCCAACGTCATCTGCTCGGTGCTGATGGGCAACAACTTCCAGCAAGGAGACACCGACTTCCGCGTCCTCAGCGACGATTTGACCGAGGCCATTAAAAGGTCATGCTGGCGCAGCAGGCTCGCTCCTTCCCGCCCCTGTGGATCCTGTTCCTTGAGGCGGGATCAGGACTGCGTACAAGACGTTCCGCCGTACGCATGCTTTCCTCAAGGCCATCGTCAAGGAGCACGTCGAGCGGCACCAACCGGGAATGCCGCGCGATTTCGTCGACGACTGGCTCGACATGACGGCTGAGGAAGCCGGGAAAGCCGGTGGTGATAAGACAGTCTTTCGAGCGGAGAAGCTGCCCAAAGTCCTGATGGATCTATTTATCGGCGGCTTTGAGACGACCACGACCACCTTCCAATGGTAAAGATGAAGGCGGAACAATTTTCCCACGGTGAGTCAATGCTGCGACCTTTCTCTCTCGTTTTGAATTAGGATCTTTCTGATGCTGCTGCACCACCCGCACGTGCAGACCAAGATCCACACGGAGATGGACCGCGTTCTGGGAGCCCGTTCGTCCACTTCCGGTCAGCAGGTGACGCTGGAGCAGCGCGACGCGCTGGTGTACACGGAGGCGGTCATCCTGGAGACGCTGCGCAAGTACCCGCTCATCCCCTTCGCCATACCGCACATGTGCACGCAGACCACCAAGCTGGGCGACTACACCATTCCCCAAGGTAGGTGGCCACTGCCGGTGACCTTTGAGTCCGGCCCTAACTGGCGTTGGATTAAAACAGGGACGCAGGTGATGCTGCACCTGTTCTCCATCCACCACGACCCGGCGCTCTTCCCCGACACCCGGAGCGCTTCCTGCCCGAGCGCTTCCTCGGGGCGGACGGCCGGTTGACCGTCCCGGAGCAGTTCGTGCCCTTCTCGGCGGGCCGGCGCTCCTGCATCGGGGAGCAGTTGGCGCGCAAGGAGCTCTTCCTCTTCTTCGCCAACATCATGCTCAACTTCTCCATCCATCCGCCCGCGGGTGGTCCGTTGCCGTCGCTTAACGAGAACGAGGGGATTGTCATGTACCCGGACCCGTATGAAATCATCCTGCAGGAACGCTGACATCGGCTGCAATTCCCATGCCGGATTCGATGACACGGACGCGCCGGTCTCTCGGCTTTTGGCTGAAAAATATCTGACGTAAAATATTTCAAAATTGACACTCGTACATACAGGTCTCTAAAAACTGGAAGCATAAGAAAACCGGGATGTTGCAGAGCAATTGTTTTCTGAAAAATTCTGAAGAAGAAAATGATTGTTTTCTGAAAACAGAAAATTTTTCTTTAATGACTGTACAAATAGGAAGAAATGACAACTGACAGTTTTGAATAAACAACTGCTTTAACTTTTTGAGATAAAAACAGCGTTTACTCCTAGAAAAAAGTACGACAGATAAATAAACAAACGCCGGGTAAACAAGCGACAGAAATCAAAGACTGTTCAGACCCTCGTATATCGCGCATAAAGCAGCATTTAAAACCCACATGGCTTGCAATAAAATATACAGCGCAGATGTTGACCCCATTGCGCGGTGCCAGCTTTGGAAATGTACTGGAATGTTTTTACAAAGGAAGAAATTCCAGTTCCGAAGTAAAATATTCAAAATTAGCGAAGTAGGAATAGGACAAAAAATTTCAAAAATTATCAACACAAATACAGTCACACCAATGTTTTGCACAAAAATGTTGGATTGTTTTTTAAGTCGTGACCTTTATTGGTCCCTGACTTTCAACAATGGAAATAATTTTGAATTTATACGCACGAGGTGGCGTTGACTTAGGAACTGTTTTGACCTGCGCGTGCAGACGTGATGACAGAATTACATACTGTGCTGTACTTATGATATGCAGTAAGTACTGTACTAATTTTATGTATTAGGTACGGATCTGTACTTACATTGCGGGAACGCGCATGCTTCGGTAACGTTTGGGACAAATGTTTGCAGAATGAATGAAGCAGTTGCTAAGCTGATAATAAAATATGTAACAACCGGAGACAAGTTTACACGTATTGACTGGACTTTCTAAAAATTAACGATGCCGCTGGAAACTGTTGCTTCAGTACTGTGAACTTTAAAGAATTTTAGAAATTGTTGGCTAAACTGACTGATACTTTGTTTTCCAGTGCAAAATTTATTGATCTCTTCCTGCACATACGTGGCTTGTTAATATGATTCGAAGCTTAAACTTATCAGTTTCGAACTAGATTTAAAATTACCAAGATGAAAAGAAAAGTCTCAATCTTAAGGTGAAGATAAAGACTATGTTGGAAGAAGCAAAACGGATCTGTACGTGAAATCATTACGGGCAATTGTTGCTGTTACTGTTAATGTTGTTCTTGGGTAACGTTCAGGTATGTAATGGTGTTAAAATCGTGTACGAACAGTCGGTACAGACTACAGAGTACTTACACCGCTACTGTTCTTGTTGTTGTTTGATGTGTAGTTGTCACTAGCTTGGTGACAACAGTGTTTCCCAAGCTGCCAACAGTGTCTGTTCCCTTTAAAGCTGTCGAATACTGCAAACTCTTGTGTGTACTATACAGTCTATACTTACTAACGGTGGTTGCGAACCACATTATTGCACGAGCGCGAGCGTCAGTACCTCTGGAAAATGGTATTGGGATTGTGATTGGAAAAGCGTGACGTACGCTCTTCGTGGCATCAGACAAATTTTATGCTCTTGAGGAAAGCTTAATTGCAGCACCTCGCCCTTCGCGCTCGGTGCAAACAAATACTATAATTTTACGGCTGCATAATAATTAAGGATGATTAAGTACAGTATCGTCGTTCTACATTAATTAATAATAATTGGACTAAGGAAGTTTGTACTGTGCAGATTGTAAATTTTTGTAATAATAATTATGAATTACGGCACACCAATATTCTATAAGCGTATTTACCGCTTACAGAACAACTTAAAGAAATGACCCGGTACATGGTGTCGAAAATGGGACACAAATGGGTTGTGTACACAAAGTCTGGTTATTACCCGATCTTCTTGAAACTTTGCTGTAAAAGACACATGACCATAAAATCGAAAGTACTAATCGCGGTTATGTAATTATTCATTATATATACGAGTATAACCGCGCTAGTACCGGAAGCGCTCATGTACACTGTAATAAACGCAGATTTGTTTAGGGTCAATCTAAGAATTTTGTGGACAGAATTATTCGTATTTGCAGCGTGGCATGAGGCTCCTGTATTATCTTGGGGACTACGTAGGAAAAACCCCGCTAATAAATTCCTGCTGGAGTACTGCCTACGCTTATCATTAGCAGTTCACTCCTTCGGACGCGGCCCGGAAAATTGCCTGCAGTCAAATGACTGCGCGAATTGAATGATACGGACTGGGGCCAACTCTCCTGAAGGGACATCCGGTTTGTCCAGGGTCGTTCCGCATCCGCTTTATTATATATATATATATATTATTATTATTACTGCACAGGAGCATCTCAACCCTGACTGCGACTGCTCCGGTACAGCTCGGCGACAGCACCATTATTACCCATATCATGCATAGGCAGCGACGACTACGGGCTGTGGCCTCGTACTTGTTTCTGAGCATGGTCTGGCGTCGTCCGGCCGTGGAGTGCTTGGAGTGCATGGTGGGCGTGCAGGAGTGTCACTGCGGCTGGGAGTGCACCAGCGACCTGTCCGAAGCCAAATTCCAGGACGTGACGCTGGCGCAGCAGAGCCGCACATGACAGCAGGCGCGCCGCTGCCCACGGACATCCCGCTGCGGAAAACGTGCCCGGGCAGCGCGGATGTATGCCTGTACTTTGCCGACATGTTCCTGGCGCCGTACCTTAACGGCACGGTTGTGGGACGAGGCCGCTTCGGCAACTGCTTTCGTCCGGGCACCGGCACGCCGGCCAACCAGTCCAACTACTATCCGGCTCTTCCCGATGCCGGCCATGCCAACCCGCAACATCGACAGCATGGGCCTGAACGTCGGTCCGCAGGGCTTTGCCGGGCAGGATTTCCTGTGCATCCCGGTGCACTATACGCAGCGTGACAGCGGCGTGGATGAGTACTTGGTGTACTGCTTATGCCGGCGCAACCTATGCAACCTGGACTGGACCACGGTGGCCAACACCGGACCTCCGCCGCCCGGCAAGGATGTGGATGCCCTTATCGTGGACGTGTACAATAATCCCAATGGCAGTGCACCGACGCTGACGGCCTTCGAAATCAACAACACGCAGATAGTCAATGCCACGCGACGCCCGGCCGCGGACACGGTGGACTGTGGAACACACCCGGACAGCGAGGACTGCAATCCAAATGCCTCACCGGGTACACGCTCCGGGGCGACGCGATATCGACCGGCTAAGCTTTTCTGCTTCGTCTGCAGCGTGCTCACTGTATGGACAAGACGCCGCATAGGTCTTATATGTATACCTTTGAACAATCTTTGTGCACTTTTTGACGCCTAAGGTCAATGCTTAATGGGCAGCTGTTGTCGGCTTGTTTAATTGACTGTCCATGTTCCTCGTCCAAATTAATATTAATTGTGCTTAAATAAATTTTTGCTGGAGAAATTCGTACTGTCTGAATTATGTAGAATTCAAAATTATGTAAATATGTAACCCGAATTTAATCTATAGCCGAATGCAGCCGTTACAAAATACCCAGTAGATTAAAGCGTGGTATGCATACCAGCATACGCAACCCAGCGTAAGTCGTAACATGCGAAACATGTAAGATTCACCTTATTGCAGTTACGTTTAAATGTAAGATGATGTTTAACCACGCCGAATTAGCGGGTAATTACTGAGCATGAATACGGGCTACAAGCCTACACGGGACAGATGTTTCTTAAAGATCATAATTTTGCAGTAATTTTAGTTGATGTGACTTTACTAATGTTATACAGCAAGAAAGATGGAATTCCTGGTAAAACGGCAGCTAGATTGCCCGATTAGCGATTGCTTAAACATTAATACTCTGCTTCCATCGTATAATTAGTCAGTTCAACACTGAAATTTTACAAGAAGGGAGAAAGTGAGGTCGGCAAACTCTGTAGACCCAACACGTAGGCGTATCTTGTGTAGGCCGTGCTAATACCACATGCAGAGCGAAAGTACTCGTAAAAGCTAACGTCAATGTCCAAAATGACTGCGATACCTGTGATGCTGACCTGCGAAGGAATACAGTAACTGTTCAGTATATATTAGGATGAAAATCTCAGTAGCTACATAACCCCAACTCACCGAATATTTCAATAGTACTCATCGGTCGTTGCGGGAACTGCGTTATAGCCGACGACCCCGGTTGCAGCGTAGATGTCAACGTTGAAGTCGACGGTGTTATCACCGTTGGGTTTCCTTCCGTAGTCGCACTAACGTTGACCGTTGTCAGTGAATCTGCTGTTAACGTAGGAGCCGGCATGGGCGTCGTTCCCGGTTGCAGCGTAGATGTCAGCGTTGAAGTCGATGGTGTTATCACAGTTGGGTTTCCTTCCGTAGTCGCACTAACGTTGACCGTTGTCAGTGAATCTGCTGTTAACGTAGGAGCCGGCATGGGCGTCGTTCCCGGTTGCAGCGTAGATGTCAGCGTTGAAGTCGATGGTGTTATCACAGTTGGGTTTCCTTCCGTAGTCGCACTAACGTTGACCGTTGTCAGTGAATCTGCTGTTAACGTAGGAGCCGGCATGGGCGTCGTTCCCGGTTGCAGCGTAGATGTCAGCGTTGAAGTCGAGGGTGTTATCACAGTTGGGTTTCCTTCCGTAGTCGCACTAACGTTGACCGTTGTCAGTGAATCTGCTGTTAACGTAGGAGCCGGCATGGGCGTCGTTCCCGGTTGCAGCGTAGATGTCAGCGTTGAAGTCGAGGGTGTTATCACAGTTGGGTTTCCTTCCGTAGTCGCACTAACGTTGACCGTTGTCAGTGAATCTGCTGTTAACGTAGGAGCCGGCATGGGCGTCGTTCCCGGTTGCAGCGTAGATGTCAGCGTTGAAGTCGAGGGTGTTATCACAGTTGGGTTTCCTTCCGTAGTCGCACTAACGTTGACCGTTGTCAGTGAATCTGCTGTTAACGTAGGAGCCGGCATGGGCGTCGTTCCCGGTTGCAGCGTAGATGTCAGCGTTGAAGTCGATGGTGTTATCACAGTTGGGTTTCCTTCCGTAGTCGCACTAACGTTGACCGTTGTCAGTGAATCTGCTGTTAACGTAGGAGCCGGCATGGGCGTCGTTCCCGGTTGCAGCGTAGATGTCAGCGTTGAAGTCGACGGTGTTATCACAGTTGGGTTTCCTTCCGTAGTCGCACTAACGTTGACCGTTGTCAGTGAATCTGCTGTTAACGTAGGAGCCGGCATGGGCGTCGTTCCCGGTTGCAGCGTAGATGTCAGCGTTGAAGTCGATGGTGTTATCACAGTTGGGTTTCCTTCCGTAGTCGCACTAACGTTGACCGTTGTCAGTGAATCTGCTGTTAACGTAGGAGCCGGCATGGGCGTCGTTCCCGGTTGCAGCGTAGATGTCAGCGTTGAAGTCGAGGGTGTTATCACAGTTGGGTTTCCTTCCGTAGTCGCACTAACGTTGACCGTTGTCAGTGAATCTGCTGTTAACGTAGGAGCCGGCATGGGCGTCGTTCCCGGTTGCAGCGTAGATGTCAGCGTTGAAGTCTAGGGTGTTATCACAGTTGGGTTTCCTTCCGTAGTCGCACTAACGTTGACCGTTGTCAGTGAATCTGCTGTTAACGTAGGAGCCGGCATGGGCGTCGTTCCCGGTTGCAGCGTAGATGTCAGCGTTGAAGTCGAGGGTGTTATCACAGTTGGGTTTCCTTCCGTAGTCGCACTAGCGTTGACCGTTGTAAGTGAATCTGCTGTTAACGTAGGAGCCGGCATGGGCGTCGTTCCCGGTTGCAGCGTAGATGTCAGCGTTGAAGTCGATGGTGTTATCACAGTTGGGTTTCCTTCCGTAGTCGCACTAACGTTGACCGTTGTCAGTGAATCTGCTGTTAACGTAGGAGCCGGCATGGGCGTCGTTCCCGGTTGCAGCGTAGATGTCAGCGTTGAAGTCGAGGGTGTTATCACAGTTGGGTTTCCTTCCGTAGTCGCACTAACGTTGACCGTTGTCAGTGAATCTGCTGTTAACGTAGGAGCCGGCATGGGCGTCGTTCCCGGTTGCAGCGTAGATGTCAGCGTTGAAGTCGAGGGTGTTATCACAGTTGGGTTTCCTTCCGTAGTCGCACTAACGTTGACCGTTGTCAGTGAATCTGCTGTTAACGTAGGAGCCGGCATGGGCGTCGTTCCCGGTTGCAGCGTAGATGTCAGCGTTGAAGTCGATGGTGTTATCACAGTTGGGTTTCCTTCCGTAGTCGCACTAACGTTGACCGTTGTCAGTGAATCTGCTGTTAACGTAGGAGCCGGCATGGGCGTCGTTCCCGGTTGCAGCGTAGATGTCAGCGTTGAAGTCGACGGTGTTATCACAGTTGGGTTTCCTTCCGTAGTCGCACTAACGTTGACCGTTGTCAGTGAATCTGCTGTTAACGTAGGAGCCGGCATGGGCGTCGTTCCCGGTTGCAGCGTAGATGTCAGCGTTGAAGTCGATGGTGTTATCACAGTTGGGTTTCCTTCCGTAGTCGCACTAACGTTGACCGTTGTCAGTGAATCTGCTGTTAACGTAGGAGCCGGCATGGGCGTCGTTCCCGGTTGCAGCGTAGATGTCAGCGTTGAAGTCGACGGTGTTATCACAGTTGGGTTTCCTTCAGTAGTCGCACTAACGTTGACCGGTGTCAGTGAATCTGCTGTTAACGTAGGAGCACCGCTGCAGGATTTATCCTTACCGCTGCCGCAGCGTTTGGATGGTAAGCACGACTCTGCAACTAACCAGATGAAAAATGTTGGAAAAATACACACCTTCACTGGCATACTTATACATGGGCATGTCAGCCAACATTTTCAAGTCCTAGAGAGAAATATAAAATGTCCAGAATTAGACGAGGAAAATATCGGCGCAAACAAGATAAAACTATTTCCACAGCACTGTTATTAAATTGCTCTATTAATTCAAAACTTTACCGAATTTCATAATCTTGCCTGTTTGGCTAACGGTCGGTAATTATTTGCAGAACGGCAAAAGGATTTAAGTCCCGCGAATAATTGATGCAGTAATAAATACTGCTGTCGAAGAAATTACTTCGTAAGCGAGTGATGCGGTGATAGTGGGTCTTCTAACTCATAATGTTGCTGCGAATAAGACACGAATGTTGTTCGGTTAGATACTGCATCAAATAGGAATTCAACAGGCTTGGCAAGAGCTGGACATCGGCGTTTCTTTGTGGTTGTGTGTGATGTTGTGAACTGCAAGACAATTTATACAGTACGCAGACCTTTCAAGCATTAGTAGACCATTAAAGTGTAGTGATGCCTCTAGATGGAAACAACTTGTACAGACCGCAATCGGAGTCTACCTTGCTAATCCATACAGAACCTTTAATAAGTATCATGCTAATCGTAGATTCCGACCCCGACGGCGCCGCGCTGTTGCGCCTGCCTTTGGAAATAATCGCGCAAATCACGGAGCTGGCGGATGTTGTCACCCACGCCCGGCTGAAATCGCCTAAGTTTCGGAACCGCGCAACGGCTGGCTGATTCCCAGTGCTTCATTCGTACCTGCACAGAAATAATATGACGCTGCTCGTTTCCGCTGGATGCATAAAGGATGCTACAGAGATACATTGGGATACGGCAGTGATTGAACAAAGTTAATTTTGGAGAATACTTAAAGGGTGCGGAGGCGGTGCTGTTGATACAAGTCAAAACACATGCCCGGGAAAATTTAACGTGTACTGACCGCGCCATAGGTGCTAACACAAGCGCCTCTTTACGGCCGGCTACTCAATAAAGCAAACGATTAATCATCAGCGACCGACTCACAGGGTCAGGTGCAGCAGTCGACGAAGAAAGTACCAGTAACGAGCGCCCGTTTCCGGCGGTTTCTCTGACTACTGCTGTCATGCAGCGTTGATTCATTATTATTCCTAGGTATTTTTCTACTGATTGTGATTGCTATTTTTCTACCATACCGTCGCGCCTGATCCCTTTTTCAATTTTTATGTTTCATAAAGTATTGTGTATATTGCTTTGGTTGTATGCTTTGGGTTTCTTAACAGAATTTTTTGGTGGTGGACACCAGAATTTTTTGGTGTTGGACACCAGAATTTCGTCGGTGTTCGTGTTTCTTACTTTTTGGTGTTGGACACCAGAATTTTCCTCGGTGTTCGAGTTTCTTACATTTTAGTGTTGAACGCAAAATTTTTGGTGTTGGACACCAGAAAAACATGCAGTAGAGTGCACCATGCACCAGCCGTGTGGTACTGTAGCCATGTGAAAGTTCAGCCGTTCGTGTTGACCCGCTTGTACATGGGCAATACGCGCCAGCCCGCCCGACGGAGTGAAGGACGGCGTCTCCGCGTTCCGGCTGCATGTTCGCAAGGAAGCCGCATTATCTGCCGGCGGCCAGGTCCGCGCCCGTGGGATCACTGGTGGGGGACAGCCGCCTTCCAGAAAAGCGGCGTCGGGCGGTAGTAGCGAGACTTTAGCCACAGCATCACAGTATCATTTGGGCCCCATGGTAAAAGTGATCCCCTGTGCCTTCGCGGCCGCAGCTGCAGCCGTGGCGCCGGCTGTCATATTTCATTGTCCTCTTTACGGCACAAGAGCAGACAACCCCGAAGGGACTTCAAGTCTGGTCGAACAAAAACAATTTTCCGCTAACAAAAACGTTTAGGAGAGTTTAACAGATCTGAGTAGAAATTTGAAAGAAGGTACAGAACTGGCTTCGAGAATTTTAGGATTAACAGCAAGAAGTTTATCAAGAAGACGCTTTAGCCGCATTTCCATAGTCCACCCTCCGATAACTTTCTTTGCCCGCGTAACATCGATCCGGGCCGGCTTTCGCAAGTTGTAGCGCGTGGTGTTATCTTTTACTTGGATCATGTCCAGGAGGTAAGCCGGAAGCGGGAACTGATCTTTGTTCCAGAACTTGAACAACCACACCGCATCGCTCTGCCGCCATCGGTCGAATATGTGAGGAATACCCAACTTCTGATACAGTTCCGGAGTAACCGGCATCTTGTAATCAGTGATGGTTTTCAGAGCTTTACGTTGTAGTCCGGCTAGCTTGTCGCGCTCAGTCGAAGACGCTGCAGACCATACCGGCGACTGGTGTGCGATATGGCAACCGAAACAGGCGTGATAAAGACCTTTGCGCTGTGACATGCTGAGCCCTTGTTGTGCCCGTTTAATCATGGCAATGCCAAAATTCCCTTTCCGCTGTACCTTTCTGAACTGCTCATTCCACTTCAGGTGATTATCAATTTCGACACCAAGATATCGTACACATTTCGCTATGCCAATTACCGACCCATTAATGACAACTTCCGGATCCGGTTCTGTATTGCGGTCAGAACATAAATACATCGCTTGGCATTTCTTTGGGTTCACCTGCAACAAATTTTCTTCCAGTGCTTGGCCGACGCGCACTAGTCCACTGTTCAATTTCGCGGCTGCAATACTTTTCGTTCGTCCAGTTGCACGACCCGGTCGAATCGGAGCGGAGCGGGGGAGGTGGAGCCGGTAAGACGTAATTTAGCGCGCACAGCGGGCGGCAGGACAGCAGGTGGCTACCAGCCGGTGGGCATGTGCAGCGCCTCACGAGTCGCTATCTATGCACCACAATGCCGACAGCGCCACGAGGGTCAATCGGTTGAACTCCGAAACCGGCGTCGGGACGAACCCGACATGCGCCCACGGCGAAACGTTGGGATGGGCTGGATCCAGCGGTTCCGACCTGCAGCGCACACGAGAGCACTAGTTAGGAGCATCGGTCAGTATAAGTACAAGTATACGAGGACATTTGGGTGCTGTGAACATACCCTGCACGATTAGGCTGCGATGAACAGCTGGCTAGCCGTAGCTCGGTCTGAATGCAAACGGCTATAAATTTAGCCGGCTGTTCATCGCAGCCTAATCGTGCAGGGTATGTTCACAGCACCCAAATGTCCTCGTAGTGCAAGTTATAGCGCATTGTGCTATCTTTCACTTGGATCGTGCCCAGTAGGTAAGGCGAAAGTGCGAACTGACCTTTGTTCCAGATCTTGAACAGCCACACCGCATGGCGTCAGTGAAAGATAACACAATGCGCTATAACTTGCGGAAGCCGGCCCGGATCGAGGTTACGCGAGCCAGGAAAGTTATCGGAGAGTCGACTATGGAAATGCGGCTTAATCGTCTTCTTAATAAATTCTTACTGTTAACCCTAAAATTCTTGAAGCCAGTTCTGCACGTGCTTTCAGATTTCTACTCAAAAATTGGTTGATCTTTCCTAGATCAAGTCTGTTGTTGTACGAATCGTGAAGTCCTGCCATATCTAGCTAGTTACTGCAGTATACAGATTATTACAACACAGAAAACATTAAGCGCATTTTGAGCTGCAACCTTCTTTCGCTGAACGAGCAGTCGACTTACAGATGTAGTAGTCGACGAAGAAAGCCGGAATTCGTTCCGGAATCTGTTCCCGGCTCCGCCGTGCTCCAGTAGGAGCACAGCGCGGTCACCGCGCGGAGGAGGTCCGGCGACGGGGCCGGTAGCCGCTGCACGATGGCCGCTAACAGGGCGTCGTACTGGGCAGTGGCGGACTGCCCGTCGTCGAAGCGCAGAAAGGTCACGGCGACGGAGAGCGGTGGCCGCGGGTGGCGCCGCCGACAGCGGCAGCGATGGGTGCAGGTGGACGGCACGTTGGACAGGGCCTGCAGAGTGTTGTTCATGGTGTAGTCGACGAGGAGAAGCTGTCGGCAGACCTCCATCAGCTTGGACAGGGAGCGCAGTTCGCGGCGCGAATGCTCCGGCGAGCCCAGTTCCACGTCGACGACGCAGCGGTGCAGGATGATGCGGCGGAGGGGGGCGGTGGCAGTGACGCGCAGCAGACCGCACACCACCGTCACATCGTTCTTCAGGCTGCTCCACTCGTGGCCGTGCACGCGCAGACCCGGCGTCCACTGCGTCAGGACCAGCGTGCGGACACCGGCGTTTAGGGTGTGGTACAGCAGCTGGCCCAGCCGCCACATGTCGCTGCTGCAGTCCACGCTGTCCACGCGCAGACTGAAGTCGATTAGCAGCCGATCGTATGTGGAGCCGACCAACACCGCGTTCCACACGGGACTGACCCTGCAACGCAAGAGCGAGCCAATGTCAGATCATTTCTCTGCGGTCTACGCTCTGTAGGGCAGTCGATGCTGTATTTTAGAGCGTAAATTGCATAAACAAGTATTTCTTCTTTGTTGGCCAGTGCTGGCGCTGATACAAAGTACGATTGAAATGGATAGGTGTTTCGTTTTAACGACTACTGCGAAAAAAAGCGCATCTCCACTCGACCGAACCCAGGGCTGGCGATGTGATGCGATTTATTTGAATATCACACGATGAACCGTCGACCGGCCGATTTCGATTAATTTTTACCGGCAGCGTGTTAAGGGAAGTGGCCCGGTGCATGGTACCAAATCCGTGGGCATGCACCGAAACGTTCTCTTTCGCGCACTCCCAAACCATTTTTTGTCTTGTTTTATGACATTCTGTGGCCAAATGATTTGTATACACTGCCCTGAAAACCGTTTGCGCGCGCAACATCCGGTTCGGGAGTTACAGCTGTTCGAAAATTCCAAAAAGTTTAAATGCATTCAGGTGTACCAAAAGTCTCATTATGGACCGATCTCCCTCAAATTGTGCACGTAATTGCACATAACCACGAAGAACATTTTTACACCGATCCACTTTTCTAGCATGTTTCTCAAATTTCAAAATGAATTTCAAAAATTTTAAAATTCATTTTAAAATTTGAAAAAAATCATGGAAGTCTGGATTGGTGTAAGAACGAACTTCATGACGATGTGCATTTACCTGCAAAATTCGAAGGAGATCGGTCCATAATCAGACTTTTGGTACACCTGAATGCATTTAAACTTTTTGGAATTTTCGAACAGGTGCAACTCCCGAACCGGATGTTGCGCGCGCAAACGGTTTTCAGGGCAGTGTATAGTTATACAAATCATTTGGTCACAGAATGTCATAAAACAAGAGAAAAAATGGTTTGGGAGTGTGCGAAAAAAAAAGATTTTGTGCATGTACACGAATCTGTTACCATGTACCGGGCCACTTCCCTTAAGGATGTTCAGCTTCCGTACTATACGGGAGGGATACAGTTGAACCATGCGAGATACTTATGTAGCCATGCATTTATTCAGTAATGGAACGTGGAAGCCGGCCAAGAATCGGCATGCTTCCGCATTCCCTTACTGACTGGGTTCGTCGGCACGCCGACGTAGTGTTGCGATGGCCATATATATCAAACCGTTCTAGTTGAACCGTTAACAACTAATGACCTTTTCAGCTTGGCCTGGGTGACGACATCCGTCAGCTCAACGACTTGCGCGATTATTTCCAAGGGCAAGCGAGATATCGTGGCTACCGTGTCCGGGTCGTTTGAACCTACGATTACAAATAAGCCCGATTGCCCTCGCAAATTTTCTATCCATTTACCGTTCTTCGTAATTTTGATGTCGTTAAGGGTACTTCGGCAAGCATGATACTGACAACACTTTTCGCTGCACGAGATGGTATTAGAAAATAGAAGCACTCAGCTGCACTGACAGTCACTTTCGCGCGACGAACTACAGAGGATGAGACAGCATCAATGCCCTACTTTTTCATAAATTTATTACAATCTTCCCCACACAGGTTTTTATTTTATAATGTGTTCTTTCTAAAAGTCCCTTCTCTAAATTATAAACGTGACACGTTTTCTCCTAGCACTTATTACGTTTCGGTGCAAAGGAATTTCTACAACGGACCATGGTCTGCGCGCAGGAGTCAACACAGCGCGAAGCGACGACCCACGCCTTCGCTGTTAAATTTTATTTAAAATCCCGCTTACTTCAAAATCCTTGAGTAAGAGACAGAGATTATTGCTAAGTCACCTGGTTCTCGGGATATAATAAATTCAGTGGGAAGCAAGCCACTAGTACGTTTTTTTAGCAGTGTATGTCGGAGGTGAGGCCTCTGTGTTTATTAAAACGATTATTAAAACCTCTGTGCTAATGTGCAGCTAGCAATAATGTTACTTGGATGGCTCCGCTAAACCGATAAAACATCAAACGTATCTGTTGCTCGTGCGTACATTGTGGTTGTTGTATCAGAGGATTCACTGCCACTGCCAGCGCTCCGCTCTCCACACATCGGTGGAGGGCGCGGGTTAGCAGCTCTGGAGTCCAGAAACATTCGCCCTGTTCCCAGCAGATAATCCTCACTGCGGCGTTGCTCTGCCCATGAAAGAAGAATCGGTTCCCGTAGCCGCTGGCCATAGTAATTTCATAATTTCCAAATTGACGATCGTGGCGGGAGCGTTGCAGTTCGTAGTATACGCGGTTCTCATCCATGCTGAGGCCACCATCGCCACCGCCCCGGGTTACAGCCTCGTCGGCTAGCCCCGCGGGCAGGGGCAGGCAGTGCTTGACATACCGTCCCTCCCGTCCGGACGCCTCCGACAAGGGACGTTGCGGCCGCTGTTCAGCGATCTGCAGCTCGTGTACGAGGTGCCGGCAGCCGCCCGCGATGGTCTCCACGTAGCACACCCGTCCGTCGCGGTGGTATTGTGGCGTTCCGGGACACGCCAACAACAGGGACGCCGCTTCGAATACCAGCGGATCGGTCGCGCTGGCCCGCAGTGCCACCAGCACCTGCTTGTCGTTCGGGTAATACAAACAGATGACGTGAGGGAACACTTTGCTGGACGGGAGCCATCGCGGCGGCAGTTTAGTGCAGTGGAAGCTGATGTACATCTCGTCGCCCCTCATATCCTCGATGAATCCCAAACACCACACCTCACTGGCGTCGTTCTCGGTCAGTTTCACGGGGATCATGACGGTGTTGGCGCACGCCACACTGTGGCCCGTACGTCGCCGTTCCGCCAAAGGATAACCGAAGCGCTGAACAGACACCTCGTCCATTTTCACATAGAAAGTGATGTTGAACTTCGATTCACAGTATCCATTTAGGGATTCATCGTAGCCTGGCACAGTTTAAAGCGAATTAAAGCGAACTACATTACATTTGCGGCCGTTTTATGGCGCCTGCAGATTTCATACATGATTATAAGGAAATAACTAAAACAGCATACAATGTACGACAAAAAGAGGTTGAACCGATCAGTCGGTCCGCGGTTCAAAATAACATCGCAACGGCACGCCACCACTAAAACTTGTACGATTACTCACTACTTTCAGACGTTTGCGCTCCGTGAATATCAAAGTGCAACTATACTAGTTGCACATCAAAAGGTGTAGAAAAAAATTTTAAACTTTTTGATACTAAACCTGTGGCTGTTTATGGCGAACAGCACAAATTCTAGCCATTTTGCTTTCTCGTAGGCACAGCATAGGATCTGTGCGCATAACCGTTTGGCTTGCAATCAGTGCTTAAGTCTATGGGAAAGCAAAATGGCTAGAATTTGTGCTGTTCGCCATAAACAGCCACAGGTTTAGTATCAAAAAGTTTAAAATTTTTTTCTACACCTTTTGATATGCAACTAGTATAGCTGCACTTTGATATTCACGGAGCGCAAACGTCTGAAAGTAGTGAGTAATCGTACAAGTTTTAGTGGTGGCGTGTCGTTGCGAGGTTATTCTGAACCGCGGACCGACTGATCGGTTCAACCTCTTTTTGTCGTACATTGTATATACAGACTACAGTAGTCTCACGCGAATTAATGCGTAAGTTTTGCTGATGGTGCTGGCGTTACTCGGGGCGGTGGCCATATCCTTGTTTTAAACCGTCGTTGCTTCCTAAGTTACGAGTTAAAACAATATAAAAATTCAGTTCTGTTGGTTTATCGCAAGTCAGCCTTACCGAAAGCCAAGCTGCTGTGAGTAACAGTAAATGATGCGTAAAAAATGCCCCAATAATGCGATACCATACCAACTGTCACTGCCACGATAAGTGAGTGACCTGACTTATAATAAGTCAGACTGTTGATAAACAACCGAGTACGTGTATGCATCTTCACATCGCACATGCAAGAAAAGCGCGCGAAAAATCAAAAATGCATAATTTGTTTGTCAAAAATATATCACTTCAGCAGGCGACTGTTACAGCTTCACTTGTATTTTCAAAATGCCGCGCAAAAGTAAGCGCAAATTAGCAATAGACCTGATAGAAAGGTTAATTTTGCAAACTGCCGCATACAGCAGAACCAGTTCTTTACTTCAACCGGACGATGACACTTCGCTATCTATTTTTTCCCGCGCCAGGGACGATGATGAATTATCGCTATTAATTATTCGATTTTATCTCGAGCATACCCGCTATCCCGATCCCCGATTAACAGTGCCAAAAAGTGCTCATTTTATGCGAACTATTCTGCCTAATTTGGACGACGAAAGATTTAGACAGGAATTCCGTATGTCGCAGTCAACATTTGACATTGTACTCGGAAAAATCGCTGACCACCAAATTTTTCGGAGTACTTATCAAAAACCGCAGTCATCTGTCAGCGACCAGCTAACGATTGCCCTTTACCGGTTTGGAAATTCTGGCAACGCTGCATCTATTGGCAAAACTGCCCGTCGCTTCGGATTATCAGAAGGTACAGTGGAAACATTTACTCGGAGGATGATTGCCGCATTGTTGTCTCTGGAGAATGAAGTTATTCGGTGGCCATCAACTGAGGAAAAACTTGCAATAAAATCTAAAATTCGGTCTGAGTATCATTTTCCTAATTGCATTGGATTTATTGACGGCACCGACATCGTACTTGAGTATCGGCCAGGGCTTAACGGGGTGGACTACTTCAACCGGAAACGACGATATGCCATCGCTGCAATGATCGTGTGTGATGCTGACCGGCGCATTTTGTTTGCGTCTTGTGGATATCCCGGCTCTGTTCATGATGCTCGCGTTTTCAAAAACTCGCCACTGGAGACTAATTCTGCGCAGTATTTCAGTGGAGACGAGTACATACTTGGCGATAGCGCTTACTCATGCACTACTACTGTCATCCCGCCTTTCCGGAAAAACCAAATCGCAACGCGTGACCACAGCCTTTTCAACTACTGCCACTGCCGCGCTCGAGTGAAATCGGAACACACAATTGGACACACTAAAGGCAGATTTCAGTGTCTTCGTGGCTTAAGAAAATATATAAACACTGCTAATGACCATACTATAGCAATTTATTGGTTTAGATGCTGTTGCATTTTGCATAACATATGTGTAGAAAATTCCGATGCATTTGATCCCGATTGGGGTGAAGACGACAACGACAACGACAACGAAGAGGAAACTGGTCCAGTACAGCACAACGAAGACGGACAACAAAAGCGTAGACGTATTATGCAATATGTGTTAACCAGTATACGTGAGTAAAAAAAATTGTGAGAGCGCAAATGAACGGATGTTTTGTAAGAATAAAAGACTCAGAAAAACTCATCACCTGCCGCGTTTCTGTTATTGCGTAATCGTAGTTGTAGCTCCATTCGCCGGTTTTCAGCCTCCATTCGCCGAACACTCAACTCGTCAGCTTGCAGATCCAACTGTTTTTTCTGGAAATTTAGCTGTTCAACCTGCAGTTTCTCCATACGGTCTTCCCGCATTCTGGCAAGTCTGAGTTCTTCCTCAAAGCGGCGGTCTTTCTTTTCTTCAATTGTCAGTAACGTATCGGCAAATTCGGTCGATTTCTGCTTTTTCTTCAGTCAGCTTAACTAGGTATTAGGTATAATTATCGCACTCATTAAAAATTTGATATTGAACCTTACCCACAACAGGTTGACGTTTGAGCCTATCCGCACGTTCTTCACCAATTTCCATAAGACCATTTCCCGTTCCTTTCAGCCAGGTATTCACATCTTTCCATTTGGTTTCAAAGGATTGGATTTTCACCTTGATGTTTTTAACGGTGCGTTGTTTGGCATGAGGGCCGCATTTGGTGACCAGGTATTGGGCAATGGCTTTGGCAACGTGAGCTTTGGTTTTCCCAGTAGTAGTTTTCTTCTGGTCGTTTGGGTCGATTTTCCCCGCGCATTTCCATTCTTGGTAGTTTTCAAAGTCTTGCAGCCATTCTACTAAGAACCGTTCCTCCCGTTCTGTCCAGCTGTGTTTTGCAGCTCGCTGTTTCGGCTGTTCTCCTGAGTTTGCTGTTCCTGGTGATCCCCCATTGACAGTACTGGTGCTTGCAGCCGGGGTAATAGGAACAACTTTCCTTGCGCGGATTGTAGGCAAAGCAGTTCGAACTGGTGTCGACATTTAACTTACATGTATTAGCAGTAATCCGATGAAATACGAATAATCGCAAATAATAACGAATAAAAACAATAGCAATCAGCTTATTCTAAATATTTAAACTGCACATTTTTGGTGTAAAGCAGTTGAACGAAATTGTTGGTAAATTTGTTTACACTGGTGTTGGTAATAATGCCACAAATTTCCATACGTACAAAACAACTTGGCAATGCTAGACTGAATGGATAAGTCAACGATGCCACACGGTACATCTACTCTAGACTAGATTTATCTTTGGGCATGTTTGCCTTAAAGGGGGCATGTGTTGCCGATATGTATCATATTTTAATATCCAATCTGTGGTCTTCTTCTTATCTCATGGTGATTCACATTTCATAACTCATATCTGCCCAAGCGTTGGGCACACTGGTCACATCAGAACTGAAGGACCTAAATCATATTTTGTAGTCAGCCATTGTTGTCGTGTTGGTTGGTACAGTACAAGATCGTTGGTAGACCGTTTCACCAAAATGATTAAAACAAATTTTTACGTAATTGACAATAAGACAACATTTTGGCGCCGCAAGAAGAAGCAAGCCGACCTGCTCATCACAAAGGGGCATAAAAAGTGATTAGTGAAGTATAGTAAGTACCAGACCCAGTCGACTCCTGTACACATTCTCTCTATCCCTTAAAAATCTCATTAGCAGACCTTCACCCAGTCTAGTTGAGTCGGGTGCCAAATAATAGCCTGAATCCTCTGTCAGTCAAGAGAGCAGCGCTCTTACTTCTGATCGCAGACAGTGTGCAATGTTAATAAGTATTAAGTACCTGATTGTGCTTTGCTTTCTGGAAGTAGCCTATTAATTGTTATCGCTGAAAAGAAAATTCTTGGCCATTATCCTTCAACTCTAATTACAAAGTCTGCACTCTGCACAACTTCAGAAATTCAGTAGATCGTGAAACGTTATGTAACACGCTTTCTGTTAACGGTGTTTTGATGAGTAGTGAACCAAAGTTAAATCAGCCTCCATAAAACACTTTTCATTCCATGGTTTGATGTCTGTTATAGTTACAGTTAACACTGAGTTTGTTTAACTTTGTATTACGTGATAGCCCGACATTTGATTGTTGTAATCTGGATTTATTGAGCCTTTTGGACTGACATAAACAATTCATTATGGCAGTTCATCGTCTGTTGTTTTACCACATTTTAAATTAACTATGGAGTCCAACAATAATATTCGCCACATTTATGATGGCAAACGGTTCCGGAAATTATGCACGACAGGTTCATGTTTGAGTTTAGCAAAAGTTGGCGGCAAGTGCAAAAAGCATCGTCGGATCTGGCATAACGAACAAGGTAAACTGGATAACTGTAGAAATCATGGCTTGAAGTTTTATACTTTTGCATCATTACTTCCTCCGCTGTCGGTGCTGTAATCTGTATTCTCATTCGCGCCGCTGCCGGTGCAGTACTACATTCCTGCTTCCGGTACTGTAATCTGTATTCTTACTTTTGCCGCGACCGGCGGCAGCACTATATTCCTACTTCCACCGCTGTACGGTGCCGTACCTCATTTCTACGTTCCGTCGCGGCCGGCGGCAGTACTATGCTCCTGCTTCCACCGCTCCCGGCGCAGTACCAAATTCCTACCTTCCACAGCGGCCGGCTGCGTTATCGTGATTGGGAGCGATTTGGAAGTTGGATGCAATGTTGTGATTTGGATGCGTGCTTGCTGTTTACCGGCACTTATCAGTGGAGCTCAATTAAATACCTACTGTTTTGAATACTTATTTTTTAATAATATCGAGAATATTTTGTATATTTGTATGCGTTAACTTTACATGGTTACGTAATTACGGACGATTATTATATACTAATTATTATTAACTATGTATGCCTAATAAGCTACGTACCAATGGTTATGTGAACTGGCACCGACTATCGCTAGCGGTCTGTGCAACGCATCGCTTGCAAGTTGAATGTGCGCTAACCGTATGTGCATCGCTTACCGGCTTACGGTATGAATGTGTGTGTTAATTTTGGCACCCTCATAAAACTAGATTTGGTCGTGGTCATTTATTTACATAAGGATTCAAGTTATTCGGCTGCTGTGAAAAGTAGGTTCACTGAAAAGCAGTATATATATCTTTTCACTATGGTAAGTACTTAAAAGCTGACTGAACAATTCCGCCCACTCCAAAGCCGATGGCAACGGTCGTCTTCGATGGACTGACAAGCTCCTCCTCCTCGATGAGAGTCGCAGTGGCGCACCGCAGCATGGATGGAGGCACCAGCGTCGTGTAAAACGCAGCAGATGGAAAACGATGCTACGTGGCGCGTGCACATTCTGGGCAATGCCAAAATCCTGGAGTCTTGGCCCAAAGTAGATTGTTGTTAACGCCCAAAGTAGGGAGAACAGTCAGATGCTTCTGCTTTATGCTGGGCCAGATATCCAACGGTCGACCGTTACATATTTCAAACAGCGAGGCGTCGTTTATCCAGCACCATTGCTAATACTGATTATGGCCTCTTCTTAAGCAGCATTCAAATGAGTGAGATATCTTGGAGTCTACACCGGCATGATGCATGCAGTTGTCGCGGGATTCACACTGGACAGTGGACAGCAGGAAGAACTATGATCCTCATGGACTCATGGACCATGACTCCATGAATTATGATGAACATAGCTCTTCTATGATTAACCATGAATCATGTTGTTTTGCCAAAGTAAGTTTACAGTATAATAATGTACAGTATAATATTCCTTCGGAACTGATATAATTATATGTTTTGGCACTTGTGTGACTAGATGAACCTTATAAGAACAAGATTTGCAATTGCAAAACCTAATAAGAAGAAAACATAAGAAAAGAACCTAATAAGAACCTAACGATAGTCGATAAATAAGGATCTATTTCAAATTTTATTGGCGTAAAGTCATTTTGAATTCCAGTGTATGCGCCATATTGGATGTGTGCTCTGTTGTAGGGATGGCGTATAGAGTGTGTGCTCTACTACTGCGTACGTACAGCTAAAATTTTACGTTCCAAGGAAGAATGGTAATTATTCGGTTGTTAACCAGCCATCAGCAATCAATATAATAACTTTGTAATTTTTTTTTTTTCGTTAAAACTTTAAATACCCAATAATCAGAACAAGAAAAATAACTCTTCTAACTCTCGAGAACACCCGACCGTCCCCAGGACAGAAGCCGCGTTTCCGCGCTGAATTTCCACACTTATACGTTGCCACAAATAATGAACAGCGCGCGCTTCTCCCGTTTGTTCTTTGATACGCCGGCCGACTTCATTGATGAACTGGTGGGTACTTTCGCTACAGCTTCAAATAGTTTCGAGTGCCACTGGCTGGAAAAAATGCCGATCAGTGAGTTCGGAATATAGGTTCCGCTTCCGCACTTCCGCGTCTTCAGCAGCCGATCCCGCTGCTTCTGAACAGCCAGCTATATACGAAGTAGCGAATGTGTCACAAACTGTTACATCCCATATCAGAGGGAGGCCATTTCTCCATGGGAAGAGTGATAAGCCGTCTGGCCGCTTCCCGTCCAGTCTGCACAGTCCGGGAGGCTCCAAGATTGACGGCACCTTTGCTGATCCCAGGCTACGCTGAATCACGCTATTCAGACTCGCATGCCTCCTGAACCTTCCTTGGCTTTTGACGCACGACAATCCATGCAAGCCGCATGTATCAACCATTTCACCACACCGACATTTATGCTCTTTACAAATAGGCGCCCCCATCCGCAAAGCAACAGCGATCCGCAGACCGGCATCGTCCAGCAGTGTGCCAAGGCTGGCGACCGGCAATGCAAACAACCAGGCACTGGCATCCTTAGCAGAGGCAGCCAACAGACGAGCAGAGGCAATAACGTCGGCGCTCTCTTTTAAAGCTTCCAGTTTCCCGGCAGTCAGCATATCCGATCACAAGCGTTGGTTGCTCCGGTCTTCCATCGCAGGTGCACTCTTTCCTGTACGTTCTTCCCAGCACAGCTCAACGTCAGACCGCTCGTCGGGGCAATCTTCGGGCACAATAGTGCGTACTAGCTCGTCGGTAGAATAAAGCGAGGTACAGCTTGTCATTTGTTCTCTATCTTTCCCATTGTGTTCTGTTGCGTTGTGTAAACGCGGATGTGATTTCTGATATTTTGTTCTTTTGCATTCGATGTTTGATCATCTCACGCATGTGCAGCCTCAGTCGCTTGGCTTGCACGCCAGCGTCAGGGCATATTCCCTTCACTGTTATAGCTCAGTTAAAATCTAAAAACCTATTATCAGATTCGGAATCAGCGCATTTTTCTGTTATAGAAACGTAGTCCGGTCTTTGGAAAAAAATTTGTCGCCCCCGAAGGCGAATTTGGCGTCCGCAGGGCGTTCGGGCGCCAAGCGTCATAATTCAGTGACAAAGCACATTAATTTAGAATTCTTTTATAAGTACCAGAAGCGGAATCCGTGTGGTAGATTTGTCCAGGAAACAGTTTTAAAAGTGGGAAAGTGCATTTCCCCTCTTTGAGAATATTGCGACCGCCCGAGGTGGCGGTAACAAATGCCCCTTTGGGACGACAATTCTGTTTTCAAAGACGAGACTGTGTTTCTATAACAGAATAATGCGCTGATTCCGAATCTGATTCCGAATCTACGAGTAGTAATAGTTTTTTTGGAGAAACTAAAGCGACGCCTTACCCTTTGATAAACAAAGTTTACCCTCCGCGACACGGCAGCCGCCTCGTGAACGGGTGGCAAGGTAGCCGTGTAAGGGGGAATGGAACCACTGGATATTTTGGGCTCTCCACTGATTTTCTAGATCAGAAAAATTCGGTGATTCCGAATTTGTAATCAGATTCGCTCTACACCTAACCTGCAATGGATTCCCGTTCTAAGCGCATGACGTTTTGGCTTTTAAGTCACAGTGTGACGGTGTGACCTAAAGTGCCAGAACATCAAGCGTAGTAGAGCAGATGGCATATTGAGCGGATATTTCCCAGTTCCGACTATACTGCCCGATCAGGCCGAAATCCGCTATCTCCAAATCGAGCTAGCAGATTGCGGTCTGATCAGGAAGTTAGCATGGCCACTGACATTAACGCCTCAACAAGCTGCAGCCCAATGCGGGCACGCACACTGCCACGTACATTGCCCCCCGAAGTTCCGATGAAAGGTCAAACATTTCGATGGAATCGGGCATTCCTGCGCTAGTGGGACTGTTGTCAGTTCTCCTGTGCACGGAACGGGACGAATGTGTGTTCGTCGTCATAAGCCTTGCCATGGACGCGAAGACGGGTGTCCTGAATTGTGGTATTTAAATAAGCACGCTGCTGTATTCTTGTTTAAAGCCTGATCCGAAATGCTGTGTATTCTGGAGAATTGTTGCTGTTGTGAGTGTCTGTTGCCTCGAATGGGGCAATTTGGGCTCCTGCCCTGAATGCGTGCGGACGTTAAACCATTAAACCTTATGCGCACAATGCACTGGACGATGGACATGTTCCGCGCACAGTTTTTTTCTGATAATAAATTGTTTACTTAGTCAATTTGTGTCCCGCGAATCAGGACGGGTTTTCCCTGAACGAATACCTGTCGAGGATATTTATTTTCCGCAACCGCAGGCCGCACTTACAATCTCCGGAACTGGGCTACCCGAAGTCCGAATTGATGCAAAGGTCACCACCAAGAGCGAAGCAACGTCGGCCGCGAGAATGAAAGCACTTCTCATGTACATACTGTATATAAAAATTAATGTGGATGTATTTAAATGCGGAAACGGTTGACTTTTGAAAGTGAGTGGTTGAAAATGATCGACCTGGGAAAACTGGTTGATCAATGTTTTTTTCTAGTTCAAACTCTTGGAGGCGAATTCTGGTCTTTCTTGTCTTTTGTCGATCAGACAGCGAAATTTCCCGACGTTACATACGTCCCCTCTGAAAAGGGTTATGGCCGTGGGACATGGGAGGGCCGTGGGTTATGGCCGTGGAGTCTCAGATTTGTATTTCGCTATTTCGAACAAATTGCGCCTGCGTTACAGTCTATGAAATTCTTGCTGTTAACCCTAAAATTCTTGAAGCCAGTTCTGTATCTGTACCTGCTTTTAAATTTCTACTCAAATCTCTTGATCTATCCTAAACGTTTCTATCAGCAGAAATTATTTTCGTTCGGCCAGACTCGAAGTGTCTGTGCGGTTGTCTGGTCTTGTGCCGTAATAACAATAATAATAATTTGTTTTGTGCGCTAAGCCGATCCGATTGAAGAAATGACGACCGATATCAGATCACTATTATTGACGCGGGCACATAATTTATCGACGGAGAACTTGCGCCAGATGAAAAACGCGATAGTAAATCAAACAATCCCCGCGCCCGGCAACAGTATAAAAACGGCAAGTAGACTCTCTTTCTCAAATCAACGTATCACAAATCAAGCAGCAAGGCGGCATCAGTCCAATCAGCATTCGTCCTGCGTCACGTGGAGAGCGCGACCTGCAGGTCGCGGTAGGTGTCGGCGGCGGCGATGAGCTGTTTGGCCTCGACATCGGCCAGGAAGACGCAGGGGATGTCCACGCCCTGCCGCGTGGTGCCGCTGTCGCCGTGGCCCCCGCCCTGGTCGCCCGACATGGCGAAGGCGTGGCCGGGCGCGTAGGCGCTGCCGCTCTTGTTGTCCACCACCAGCAAGGCGCGCGCCCCGGCCGCCTGCACATTGCGCGCCTTCTCCACGAACATGCAGCCGCCGCGACGCACCACGGCGATGGCGTCGCGGACGCCGCCGATCTCTCCGTTCACCACCGCGGCCGTCTGCCAACACACACATCCACCGTTGTATTACGATCACCCACCAGAAAACAAGCAAATCCTCATGTTTCTCAGATCATTGTAATTAAACATTAACTCCATTGACATTAGAATGAACGAGGGGATAAAGAAATTTATGTAAAAATGGAATCCAATTTATGATAGAATTTATAATTCAAATATTATTTTCTTAGATATGGCTACAAAAACCATTTCGCTTCAGCTTGTCGTAACAATGAAAACAATTTTTCACTGAGATTCACTTTTCATATTATTATCTATGATAAAGTTAGTATCCCGCGTTTTTCTTTTCTTTCAGATTCAGTACTTCGAAATATACGTAATTAACAAGAACAGAATAAAAATTAATGAACATATTTTTAAATAAAAATATACATATTAAGTTTAAAACATGGAATAACATTAATCCTTAAAGTTATAAAAACATAACTACCAACTATAATAATTGTTAAACACTAGGTGTTCATTTCAAAATTCAAGCAACGATAAACTGAATTTCTGAATTCGGAATGATCTGGGCGTAAAAAAGCTGTGAAAAGGAAATCGCAAACCGTACGAGTAGCGGAGTATTTTTCCAAGTTGGTTACCCACCTGATTGACCTCCTCGTCGTCGTCATCGCGGCTGAAGCACCCGTCGGCCGGCTGAGCGAACCCCAGCGTCCCCACGACACTCCCGGGCGGATGGGCGGCCAGCGCCGGGCCGAACTGCGCCGGCGAGGCGGGCAGCGTCAAGCTGAAATTCCCGGCGACGGAGCTGGCGTGGACGCGGGCGGTGGGCACAGCGGCGCCGCCGGGGGGCGGCTGCTTGGAGGCGTGGAGCATGTCCTGCATGAGGAGGACGCCCTCGCTGGCCTGGCTGACGCTGCGCGCCTGGCTGGCGTCCTGGGCGATCAGCAGGGACCCGTCCGGCCGGCGGATCAATGAAATCCCCATCTCCGCCAGGATCATCATCTGCCACACACAACACACGTTAGATCAACGGGATGCAGCAACTTCCGGTGCGCTGGCGGACACTACACAAGCTGGAGCCCATTCGACGCGGAAAAGCAGTGCCGTGCACAGCCGACATACTGCCCACTAGGGTTGCAATTCAAGCCACATTTCAGGCGGGTCTTTCGGTTTGTTTCAAGTGAGATTGATTTAAAAATGAAGTGGCATTTAAAATAATACAATCAAATTGCCTGAATTTATTTCCGAGATATTTTTCTGTTTAAAGTTTAACGATGCATAATACTATAAAAATTATTTTTTTATCACAGATCGTTTCCAGTTGTCGAAGCTTTGAGTGATTTTGAAAACCATTTGGATTGATAGTAATTTAAACTGAAATAAAACTTGAAAATAAAAAAACGAATGAAAAAAGAAGCAGAAAAAATAAATAATAACTGTCTCAAATAAATACGAAATATTAATTCCATGGGTATTGAATTTAATCAATTCTTCGTCTAAATTTCTTCAAAAATTCTGCAATATTTTTAAAAAAAATAATTTTTCATTTTAACCCTACTGCTGAGCGAAAAAAAAGGGGAGAAGGGCGTGTTTCGTTAGGCGGCGCGGCTGGTTAGCGGGAGCCTGACTGGTGACTGCTTTGTGTCAAAAAAAAGCGTCTGTTCACCTGTGAGCAGATAAAGAGGGTCACCAGGACGACCGGCAGGATGAGCTCGAGCTCGTGGCCCGTCAGGCTGTTAAAGAGATAGCGCCGCCGACGATGCACACCCTCGTCACTCACATGTTCGTCGTTCTCCCAGTCGATCTCGCCCACGCGCACCCGCTGCCGCCGCGCCGACGGCGGACCGCTGGGGCACTGGTCGGGGTGGGCGTCCTCCCGCGGGGAGGTGTCCACCGCCACGGTGGGCGGGCCCTGCAGCGCCTGCGCGAAGAGGGTCGCCGGGTCGCGGCGCTGGTTCGGGCAGGAGTGGCTGGCGTCCGGCGGGTGCTCGTCCAGTAACTGCGGCGGGTGGAAGGTGACGTTCTTGCGGGAGAGGTGTAGGGGGAGCAGGTGGGCCTCCGTCGTGAAGATGTAGGCGTGCAGGTCCACCGGGAGGTCGGCGTCCTCGCTGAACAGCAGGTACAGGTACCTGCAACGGCCGCCAATGAGCGACATTATTTTAAAACAATTTCTAACAAATTAAAACATTTTTAAAAATTAAAATACACAAATAAATAAGAAAAATAAATAAATTCAATTCAATTTTTTTATTTCAAAAACTTAATTAATTCGTTAAAGCTAATTATTGCCGCAAACGACGTGACGTTATTTTAGAAACAATTTTTAAAAAATTAAAAATCTTTAAAAATTAAATTACAAAATATTCGAAAAATAAAAGGATTAATTTGGTTTTTCTAATTCAAAAATTTAATCAGGTCGTTAAAAGTTAGTTATTTTTGGATTAATTTTTTAAGGGGAGTTGGCGAGGCAGGAGGCGTACTTGAGGGTCTCGGCGAGGAAGAAGGAGTCCATGCGGTCGTCCTGCTGGCCGGAGCGGGTGTCCTTCAGCGCCGCGTAGCCGCAGTCGACGCGCGCGTGCTCCTCCAGACTGTGGATCAGCCGTTCGCCCACGTGCAGGTAGAAGGGGTCCTTCGTGGCCGTGTACAAAAAGTACGTCGACTCGATGAATTCCGGACGGAGATAACTCTCCGACCTGCGCCGCACAACGACCATCAATCATTCAAAAATTATCTATTATTATTACAGAAACAAACACATGATATTAGTCAATAAATAAATACCATGCCAATAAATATTAGTAAATAAGAAAGCAGCAAAAATCGTACCAATAAATGCGCAGCTCCGGCTCGGCGGTGAAGGCTTCCGGTAGGAACTTGTAGCGATCGACGACTTTGTGCAGTGTCTATACATGCAAAGCAGATACCCTGATTATCCCTGTTATTTACTATTTATTTCTCATTTATTTATTTCATACTTACTGTTTATGTCATATTTTTTTCCTTGTTGGTTCTAATTAATGTCTCATTTATTTCTTACGAAATTCTTGTTCATGCTAGAAATAAATACGAAATATACAGCTTATTTCTTAGTTATTCCGCAGTGTTTATTTGTGAATATTTATGGATTTAACTATTAAAAAATAAACAATACAGACTGAATAATATTACTTAAGAATTATTTTGCGCTGACCTGGTAGGAGATCTTGGCGGGCTCGATGTCCCCGTAGAGGACCTGCAGGCCGGGGAAGAAGGCGATGAGGGCGTCGAGGTAGGGCTTGGAGGTGGCGGAGGGCTGGTGCATGTGCACGTCCAGCATGTTGGCGCCGCGCAACACGTACTTGAGGAGGGCGGCGTAGTGCTGGTGGAAGCGGTGGAGGTAGGTGTCGTCGCCCAGCAGGATGTAGGCCTTCAGCACGTACTCGTAGTAGGAGTCGGAGCCGGCGCCGATGCCGCTCTCGCGCCGGATCCAGTCGCCGCTGTGCACGTCGATGATGTGGCCCAGCAGGCTGGAGGCGCTGTGCCGCGCGTGCCACAGGTAGTCCATGGCCTGCCGGCTCTTCGTCTCGAACACCGGATCCCCCGTCAGCCGACTCAACGCCGCGAATTCTATATACCCGAAATAATATTAGTATTATTCTCGTCAAACCAGGCAATCAACAATTTGATATTTTTTTATTTTGCCAATTAATTTTACACTTTTTGGTTTAATTGAATGGGGTTAAAAATTATCCTTCGAATCTTATCAGGACACTGGTTAATTTCCTTGGGTAACCCCAACAACTGTGACATTAACCAAAAAAAGGAAATAAATTAATTTTCTAGTAAAAAATTCTGTTCCTGTTTTTGCCAGATTGTTGGAAAGTTTTCTCGGTTAATTCGTTTAACTTTTATTTAAATAATTTTCTTTACTACCAATCCATTAATAATAATTTTTATTTAAATAATTCTAATTTCTTTAATTTTATTCAACAGATTTTCTCAAATTATTTGAACGTGAGAAATTCCTACCGAGGATCATGGTGCCGGCGCAGGCGCTGCACGTGTGCCGCTGCTCGTGCAGTCCGTGTTTCAGCCCGTGCCGCAGGTTGACGCGGGGATAGGGCATCCCGGTGGTGGAGCGGAAGGCCTCCAGCAGCTGATAGCCCAACTGCCGCGCCATCTCCAACAACTGCCCGCCATACCACCCCATCCCGCGCCGCTTCTCCCGCAGCTCCTCCGCCAACACATGCGCGCTAATCAACCCGCCCAGCATCCTGATATTCGTCTCGAAGACGCTGACGACGATGTCGGCGTCCAGCCGCACCTCCTCAATGACCAGGCGCACCGCGCGCTCAAACTCCCCCAACTCCCCCAGCAGCACCAGCGAGTCCAGACTGTCCACCAGCGTCATGGAGAAGTTGCCTAACGCGTCGTCGACATCGCCCCGGCCTGAGCCGTGACTGCGGAAGCGCCCCCGACAGGACAGGGGCTGCAGTTCGTCGGCGGGGTAGGCGTGGGTGAGGTAGGCGTGGTAGGCGTGCAGGAACATGTCCTTGACTTGCTGGCGGAGGGCGGCTTTGTGGCGACGGGACATGGCCGGGGAGGAGGCGGTCGCCCCCGGGGTGGGGGCGGCCGGGGGGAGGAGGAGGAGGAGGGGGAGGAGGGAGGCGCACACGGCGAGGCATGCTGTCGGCCGGGCCCACCACGGCACCAGCATAGTCTGGCGCGAGGGGGAGCACCCCAGGGGATCCGCGATGGCGCAGTTGTGGATTTGATATCAGGCTGCACTGATGCAGAAAACACGTTTCAGCAGGTTTGGAGCAGAGTACGACGTGGCTGCAGAACTCGTCAGCCGTTCAAATCCTGACCATCAACAACGTGGCACACATCCGTCCATCCATTATTCCAGTATGGGATGTATAATGGCAGTACTACAAATCCTGAAGGATAGAATCAAGGGGAAGACAGTCAAGACACGTTGGCGAGTTGACTCAGTTGGTCCATTAGATGCTGGTTGGCAGTATGGCCTGTATGAGTTATCGCGATTTCTGCAGCTACTCGCGCATGGCTGGCACTTATTAGCAATGGATGACGAATAAAATATGGCTTCTGGATACTACAGTATTACTTAATGTACTTATTACGTATTGGTTAATAATTCATACATAAAGATTTTATGAATAAAATTGAAAAATAAGCTGCCACTGAAAACTGGTTGGAAAACTCGAAACGGAAAAGTTGATCGTGTGACGTATTCAAGCCTGAAATCTGTACGCACGGCGCACGCACTGCACTTCCGTTCTGTCGATCGCACTGCGCAGCATGACGTATATCCGGTGTAGTTGAGGTGCGAGTACACATTTTAGCCGCCATGTGTCGGGTGGTCGCCCTTTCGTCTACCCGTTTTAGCTGATGATCGTACGTACGTGGCACGTACTTCTACGTATTAAATACGTACTGCGTTACGTTGTAGTTTGTACTAATACGTAGAGTAGAGTAAGTAGTTTGTCCTGGAAAACCTTTTCCCCTATTCTGAGACTTCTGACAGCTGTAAGTTTTGTTTATTGATTTAACAAATCAATGATCATGGTGGAGCAATTGCCGTACACACGATACAATAGATAGTTGATTAACAGGATATTTTAAATTTTTGGTACCGCACGATGGAAGAAAAGCTGAGATTTCTCGTGCATAACCGTGCGAAGAGCCGTTGCCTAAAACTGCTAGTCTGTTTTAGGAGAAACCACAGAGAGTCATAACTTTTTTTATTCGTGATGGATTGTCGTTTCAAGATGCTGAAAAGTTCGTGCATTGTGCTTTTATTTTTGGCCATGTTTAACTTGGTGTGGCAGTGCTGTTGAAGGATAGACAAGAAGGGACTGTTCTGTTATTGAGTCCTGTTGTTGTGCGCATCAGCCACTGAATGCAACATCAGTCGCGTTGCTAACACGCTGCCGACCGTCGGTGGCTGGCATAGTGGCACAAGCTCCACCTTTGAGAGAGCGGAAATGTTTAATGAACTCTTGTTTCTTTAAATGTTCTTAAAACGCGGTGTACAAGTGAAGTTTTGAAAACAAAAACGCGATGTGAAGCTCCATCTCAGCAATCCCTTCGAGGTAAGTAAAACGCAACTGTCCTTTTTTCCACTAACTAAGTAACATTTACTGCCTTGTCGCCACGGTGTATCTTCCTAGTAATGTGTTCCCGAAATCTCAAAAACACTTTCTAAAAGTATCACTCGGCCTTGCAGATATGTGCCGGCGTTTGTGCGGCTGTTGTGGCTTCAGTAGCACCGTCTAGCAAAGCGGGTTGGAAGAAGTGTTGCATAATTTGGCGGCGGCAGCGCTACATAATTTATACGAGTACTTCTACAGTATCGGCTAGGCATCTTCAATTGCCGGCAGCATGGATGCCGAATTCGAGTATCAAGTGGGCCTCGAACCGTGGCCGTACCGGCGCTGCGGCCGCAGTGTCAGCAGCGGCAACACCGTCATGGTCAGGCAAAAAAAGGCCTGGTACCTGGGCTTCATCGAGGACATTGCCGACGACCAGCAGCAAATCTTCGTCAATTTCCACTGTGCCTCTGTGCCGGCCGCCTGGCTCCCCGCCCGCCAGGTCTTCCCGCACGCCCTGCCCTCGGAAACGTACGACGACTTCTCCACGGTGCTGGCGGCGAGACGCGCCGATCCGACGGCGCCGCTGCTCTTCCAGCGCGCCGACGTCGTGGCCGTGTGTCACACCGGCCCCTTAATGTGCTGCGTGCAGACAACGGCCGCCGGTCCGCGCCACCTGCTGCATCCGCTGCAGATTGCCGTCGAGCGGCCGCCCCGCCGGACGGTGTTGCAGCCGCCGGCGTCGCCGCACGAGGGCGTCTACGCTGCCTATACGACCGCGGCGGTGGACGTGGCGCACATCAACTGCATCGATGAGAACCGGCTGCAGTTCGAGATGAAGCGCGCTCTGTACGCCGCGCAGTGTCGTGCCGTCAGCGCCCCCTCGATGCGGCGGCCGATCACGGATGAATTGCGGTATTACATGCGCTTGGGCCGCGATTCCGTCAAGTTCATCATTTGGCAGCGGCAGGAGGAAGCCTGCATCTGGAGTGTGGAGTTGCTGTCGGAATGCGTCCGACACTGCTTGCAGAAAGGGGTATTGGCTAACGATAATGCCGTACCATGGTATGGCTGTCCCAATGGCGATGCCGTTTCTCATAACGACGTCGGCAGCGGTTTGGCTGGTCTGCCGCTGGAAATCATAGAGAATCTACTGGAGCTGTTGGATGTTGTCACTCGCACCAGACTGCAACGGTAAGATAATGATAGTTTCTGCAGGGCGCCATTCGACGGAAACGGAGAAACGGCCGAAAAATGCAGCGATGGGGGAGTCGAGCCCTGGCTACGTCGTTAGATTTGCGTAGGCAGTATCAGTGCACCACGGCGCAAAGTCGCAACCAGACCTGGGCAGTTAGAGAAAATTGACCCACAGTTAGAGTTAAGAGTTACAGGATGCGTGCGAGTTGCGCTAACAGTTAAGTTATTTATGCAGGAAAACCGAGTTTCGAGTTACACCTTGAGTTACGCTACCATAGACAATATATAGTATTTTTCTCAGAGTTAAGTTAGAGTTAAGTTTTCTTCTGAGCGTGTTGCGCTAAAGAGTTAAGTTATAACTCGATATACTCGAAAATAACTCGCGTTTAGTTAAATAGTTAAAATTGACTGCCCAGGTCTGTTCGCAACTAACCACACGTGACGTGATAAATTTACATTAATTGCAATCTGCAGGGTCAGTCGAGCGTGGACCGATCTGGCTGCTCGCAACCTCTGGCTACGCCGGCATTTCATCGTGGATTTCGGCCTGCGTGTGCGCAGTGCCAACAAGTCGGACGAAATGCACCGTCTCGGCCGACTGTTATACCACGGGCTGAGCCGTGACGTGCGGACGCTGGTGCTGCGCCGGTGGCGTCCGGCTGACTTTTCGCTGGGAAGCAGTGCCTATAGCTATGGTGCTGTTGATTTAACCGTCATGCGACAGGTGATCAGGATGCGGCAACTGCCAGCCGGCCTGCAGCGCATCATCTATCACCGCTGCGTCGTCAGCCACGATCTGCCGGCTACGTGGTCCCGGCTTAGCGGGGCCACTGCCGACCACCCGGCCTTCTTCCCGCTCAACCACTTGTCGCCGTTGATGGATGTGTGCAGCAGCAGCGGTCAGGTGATTGTGGTGGACTACGTCCAGAAGGACGCCGTCCGCCCGTGGGAGTGGCTGCGGCCCTTTCGCCGTCGCGAAGGAAGCCCCTATAGCGAACGCAGCCCCAACACAGCCCCGCCGCTATCCGTCGCCCTGCCCTTCCTGCGCCTGGACTGCCGCCAGGATGCCGTCAGCCTTCTGGCCAGCATGCGGACGGCCATGGAGACCGCCCTCCCGGAGCCGCCAGCGGAGATGCGGCGGATGGCCACGGATATGTACGAGTATTGGCGCACCCGCGACACCTACTGGCACTTTCTCCGTCATCTGCTCACCGCGTAAGTACCAGTACATTCCGTTTAACTATGCCCGTGTGCGCCAAGCGGTACCACTACCGACATCCCGAGATTACAATATGAAAGGTCACCGGCGTATGTACAAGCTCATTCGCCGGTTTTGTGTTGCAGCACCGAGCCGGGCGGTCCCGTATGGCAGCACGCTGATTTCCCCAACACCCCGCTGCCGCAGCTGACCCGTTTAACCGTCTTCGCTCTGGACTCCTTGTGGTGCCGGTGCAGCAGTGAGCCGATGTTGCTGTAGACCCACAGCGTTGATCGGCATCTGGCCAAGACAATGGCCACCCACTCAGATAACGGATGGACGTAGTTCTCAACTTCCAGCCAAAGTAATCACTGTCGCGAGCCAACCATAAGCAGTTAGTCACAGAGAATGTTACAGACACTACACAGAGAATGTTACAGTATTGAGCAGGTTAGTGTAGTGAGGTAAAAAAGTTTAACTGTTTTTTATAAGTACGCTAAAATTAAAATCTAAATTTTAAATTATAGAACGTTTATTTGTAAATAAAAATATTTTACCATCCAGTGAGCGACTGAGCGGGTTTTCTTTTAAAGTTCAAAACTTCAACGTCTTTATTTAGTGCAGTTTATTTGTAATTCGAAATTGTTGAACTTAGAAGTTGCAAATACGTATGCTCATAATTATCATTTTTTTGCAGATTTCGAGGAGGCCTGCCAGTCGCTGGACAACCTGCGCCCCTTCGACGTCCATTTGCCGGTCGAGCGGGCCGTGCGCCTCTTCCGCGCCATGACCATTCTGCGTGGCCTGTTCCGCGCCATGACGTCTTTCCGCCCGAGGCCATGCTTCCCACGCTATTGCGCAGCATACATACTCTTGACTTTCATTACTTACTAGGGAATACTAGCTGTTTCCGCGCTAGCTGTGCTGCCATGTAACGAATGTTTACTTGGATCGGCTTGAATTATTAATGTTTTTATGAAGAATCTCTAAACGCATGCAGTGGGCGTTGTTTTGGTGTACTTAATTGTGGTATTTATGCGTTATCATTGCTTTGGCGAAGTTTTTGGCGATGGTGATGCTGATCCCTCCAGACCGCAGTAGCTGCGGCGCGGTCTAGTCCGAGTTGTTGTCCAGCGCACGGACCGCATAATACCGCATCTGCAGGCGTAAAAAGCCGTTGTTGTTCCAGGCAGCCAGTCTCGATCTGTAATCGGTGCATATACCATCGTATGCTGAAAACTGCAACTGAAGACCCAAAGGGGTTGAGTTGAAACGCTGATCTTGTGCCATATTCAGAAACCTGGCTAGCATCCCGCTTCCGTGTTGTCAAGCGTAGGCACGCGGCAGTGACTGTGTTTGCAAACTTTGCACTAGGTACTGTAACTGCCGACTGCCGGGTAGTCGCCGTTTCGCTGTATTTGGTGGGCAGATCGTACTACTGTACGTACGTGTGCCAGTATTACGTACGCGTATTGACACTAGACTACGGACAGAGAAAGAAAACGATGAGTCTCTCTGTTCTCTCTTTCTTGAAAATAATTCGTTGTCATCACTTTCCTGGTCTCGCCACTTCAGTAAAACGCAAGTTTTAAACTGCAGTCTGCAAGTACGAAGTTCTCCTTAATTTTCTCTGGATGCTCAACAGTTTATTAATTTTACTGTTTATTTTATGTATTATTTATACTGAATGGTATTTGTATATAGGGAAAAAGTTCCTGTTAGTGGATTATCAGCACACGCTGCCACACCGCTTGATTGTAGAGCATCTGTCTGTCGTTCACGATCTTAGCGTTTACGGTTTGCTGCGGTTTTTTGAGCTGGCGGCTGGCGAAATCTCCATTTATATTGTACCACCGACATGTCGAAATCTGTATGAGGGTGTGAGTGAGACTCCGGGGTTTGTCGAGCGGAGCATGTAGCCAGAAGCAGCTCGTGAGTCGTGACGGAGCATCGCAGGAGATCTCCTCGACAGACTGCAGCAGTCAGCAGAATGGCGCTGCTGCTCGCAGTCCTCTGCCTGGCCCTCCCCCTAACCCACGCCGCCCCCGTGGTGGACCAGCCCCCGCCGTCCTTATACAACCAGACCACGGACGTCGGCATCGCCGTCCTCACCGCCGCCTCCTTCAACCAGACCCTCTTCCCCCCGGACGCCGAGGGGGCCGCCCCCGCCACGGGCCCCCTCATCTGGTTCGTGCAGTTCTACAACTCGTGGTGCGGCCACTGCCAGCGCTTCGCCCCCACCTTCAAGTCCCTGGCCAACCACACCCTGGCCTGGACGCGCCACCTCCGCCTGGCGGTGATGGACTGCGCCCTGCGCGACCACGCCCCCCTCTGCAACCACTACAACGTGCAGTCCTTCCCCACCATGCACTTCCTGCCGCCCCACACCCCCCGGGATGGACCGCCCCGGGGGGAGGCCTACGTGGGGCCGCACACGGAGGCCGGGACGTACCACGGGATCCTGGACTACGTGGAGAAGACGGGCTTCCCGGCGGAGTGCGCGGCACTGCCCCCGGGGGCGCTGGACGCCCAGTGGGAGGGTGTGAAGGAGACGCAGATGGCGCTGGTGGTGGAGGCGGCCGGGGAGGACCAGGGGAAGGACGTGGTGTTGAGTGTGCTGGGGCAGACGCCGCAGTTGGCGGTGAGGCGGGCCACGAGCGTCAACGCCGCGCTGGTCGCGTCTCTGGACAGCGGGCAGAGCGCCAACGGGCTGTGGTTTATCAGCAAAAGCGGCGAGAAAAAGAAACACCGTAAGTTGCAGTTTATTCTACAATTTTTTGCCATTATTTTATTTTCTATTAAATCCGTATACCGATTTATTCTCAAATTAAGTGGTTGTTTTAAAACTCATCTCGTTATTTGTGAGCCTTAAAAAAGTTTAAGAGGTATTTGTATCAAATTCGCTAAGCGTCAGTTAATTTCTGAAATTAAAGCCTTAATTAAAAATTAAAATATTACATTTAAAGGGCTGATTAAATTTCGGAAATATTGTTTTTAACAATTCAGATTATTAAATCCATTTTTGAATTTTGGTTGTCGTTAATTTACAGCCACATTTTAGAGGATTATTTATTATGATTTTTATGGGTTTATACATTATCTATTTTTAAATCTGTAAAGTTAGTAATAAAATTCAGTTTCATGAGAAAAATATGGCATTAAATATCTTGATAATTTGTGCGTGTAGAATTTGCCGTAAAAGACCCGAAAGTGCACGACTACGTCGCGGCCATCTTCGCGGAAGACGACCGGCTGGCCGCCAGCCAGAACCTGCCGGCCTTAGCCCGCACCCCCGTCCCCTACGCCCAGGCCACCGCCCGCCCTACGCCGGCAGGTACCACCTCCAAAGACGCCCCGGCCAAACCGCATATCGCGGCGCCGTTGCGTCCGTTGAACATGACGGACCTGCACTCGGCCCTGGTCTACCTCTTCTCCATGGAGATCAACTCGCACAGCCACATCGCCGGCGCCGATCTGGCGGCGCTGCACCTCTTCACCGGCCTCCTCGACGACCTCATCCCCTTCCCCTCGCCCGTCTACAACGCCGTCCAGAAACTCAGGCAGACCCTGCAGTCCACGGACCAAACGGAAGCCGCCAGTATTATTAATTTATTAAAGGTAGACTGTCAGTTCAGAACAGTTTTGGGACGTTTCGGAAATATTTGAAATGAAAGGAAATTTCAACTGGAAAAGATTTTCCTAAAAATTTTTCAGAATATTTTTCTTTATTTGATCGGCATTGAATTCCATCAGTTTATTCGGTGAAAACTATTTAAATAGTAATTTTGAGAAATAATAATTTAAATAATAATTTGAGAAAATAAATTCTGTATTTTATATTCAAAAATTTTTAATTCTCAGAGCCCGGTTTTTTTGAAAAATATTTTGAGAGGAAGTTGATGCGAAGCTGATTAAAACTGGACATTTAAAAAATGAATTTTAAAATTTATTTTCGAAATCCTGCAATGCTGTAAACAAAAATAGTAAATGAAAGAAATGCATAGTATAAAAATGCATTGACCTATCGCTGGTTTTAGCATTTATTGTTGCATTTTATTTAATTAACGTGCATGTCATATGATAAGTCTGTCCATTGAAACAATTTTATGTAATAATTTAAGCAATATTGGTTTTTATTTCCAACCGTTTCACGGAATCCCGGTTTGATTTTGATTTAATTCGAAGCCTGAAATGTGAAACTCTGGAAATGATAATTGTAACGTTAATTTTAGGAGACCGGTCTGGATGTGGAGCACGCGCCGTTGCAGTGGGCCAACTGTCAAGGCTCGCAATCAGGCAAACGCGGGTATCCCTGCGCCTTATGGCAGCTCTTTCACACGTTAACGCTGCGCTATTACGAGAAGAACCGGGAGAACGCCGAGGCCAACGCCCTGGCGAAGGAATCGGGCGTGTTACGGGGAATCTTCGGGCTGGTGGGGCGCTTCTTCTCCTGCAGCGAGTGCCGCGACAACTTCATGCGCGAGGCCAACGCCCTGTCGTCCCAGACGGAAGTGCTCTCGCCGCGCAACGCCGTGTTGTGGTTGTGGCGGGTGCACAACGGCGTCAACAAGCGGTTGGCCGGGGATGTCACCGAGGACGACAACTATCCCAAACAGCAGTTCCCGCCGGCCACGCTGTGCCCGGGCTGTCGGGACGCCGACGGGCAGTGGCGCGAAGATGAAGTCCTGCAGTTCCTGCGCGCCTTCTACGCCGTCCACGGCAACGCGGAGGCGCAGGTGGGTCGACTGTTCGATTTCTCAGCGAGGCCCGCCCAGCGTTCTAGCACGTAAATTTATTTCAGCTGAAAATCAGGATTTATTTCAGAATTTACTTGTATTTTAGGTTTTTTATTAAATGTTTTATTCGGATTTTTACTAACTTGATTTTGTACTGAATTTATTTGTATTTAAATTTTTTAATGAATATTTTATTCGGATTTTTACTAACTTGATTCTGTACTGAATTTATTTGTATTTAAAATTTTTATTAAATATTTTATTTTGATTTTTATTGACTTTATTTGAATTCGTGTTATTATTTTATTTGTATTTGACTTTTAATTAATTTTAGAATCTTTAGATACGTAAGGGCATATTTAATTTTGGTTATTTTTTACTTGAAATATATTCTACAATTTATATAAATTTGCGATTTCGTTAAAAAGTCCTGTTAAATTAAAAAGGGGAATTTTTCAATAAATCCTGCTATATTTCTGCGTGCACAAATGCTGGACGGGCTGATAAACGACCACTCTCACGTATCCTTTTCCACGAAGAACATGCAATATGCGTAGGCGAGCGGGACGAGCGCGGCGGTGTTGGTGCGCGTGCCGCGTCACCGGCAGGCGGTGCTGGCGGAGATGGAGCGCGCGCGGACCGCGGACGAGTCATCCTCCGCGGCGGCGTCCTCGTGGCCGCCGCGGCTGCAGCGCGCCGCCTTGGTGGCGCTGGTGCTGATGGTGGCGTTGGGTGTTGTAGGCTACCGGCAGCTGACTAGTTGGCGGCGACGCGGTCGCGCGCTCGGACTGTCCTGGCCGGATTTCAGCGGCGGCCGCTCCGCCGCCCGCGTCAAGTGGATGTGATACGCCGTCTCCTTCTCCTCAGGTTCTGATTAACTTTTTATTCCTGTTTGGCTTTTTATACTCGCTGTGTTAGAACGGTTCTTCCAAACGTGTTTTATTCCTGGTCTCCACTCGTTGTTGGCATTGTGAGTCCAGTTACTTACTGTAATGTGACATCTGTTTTATTTTTGACCCGGAATGACCCAGCTTTGATGGCATTCTGAATTTGAATGACTGTGCTTTTTTATATATGAGCAGTGGAAGTTGTTGTCAAGATGATGAGGAAAACAACTCGGTTTTCCGCCGCTTTTTCCAACTGATAATAAACTTTGCTGCTGTGCGGCTCTGCAGTCTGCACTGGCAGTAATTCGCAACCAACCCGTCGCGATGTATTGTACCGCTACGAGCAAAAGCGTGGCCTATCGATCCTTTTATTTTCTTGAGATTAGAACAAGAGCTGTCAGAAAGGTTAGCCCACATGGCTAACTAACTGGCTGGTTCATGGCGGCTGCGCACGCAGCTGACCAGCGCTGACCATTACGTCAGATGAACGTTGTCTGTCAATTGTTGATTAGTAGTTGTGTAATTACAGTTTGCGATCTTTATTAAACAATAGCCATGAAAATTCCATAAAGTAAGTTAAATTGGGACACGCTACTTCACAGCTAAAATCTCAAGCAAATGAAATACAGTTTTCTATGTGACTTCTTAAACACTCTCGTTCTCTTCAATAAATGCACACAGTGAAATAAAACAACGGAAAACAATGAAACAATCATCCGCGACAGATACACACCAATCACAACAAGAAAATTCCTCTGTACTGTCTTGCTCGGGAATCGTGCCCATTACCAATTTCGCATTCCCGCGCTCTGTCTGTATAGACAAGCGCTGCCGGAAAAAATCTTTGGCGCGTTTCTGGCCAGTTGCAGAAATCAGGCAGCTTCCAATCTTGTTCACGAATTTCTTAGTGCCACCGCTCCACGGTCAGTGAATCTCGAACGCCGCCGCAACAAATCGTATCGGTCGATCGGTCGTGGTTGTCCGGTCCGGTGGCTGTCCGCACTGCTAGCGGTGGCGGATCTGCTCTGCTTTCCAGCCGCTCAAAGCACTGGCCTCCACCCCTCTCTATAAGGGACAGTTCCAAGTCCTTTGAGCGGGCTGGATAGCTGGAACAGTTCTGCCACGACTTGCGTCCCAGTGTGCCAACTGTGCACCGACCATTTCCGGCGGTTTTGCGGCTATCTCCCCGGGACGGGGTCAGTATTCAGCTTGTCGGTGGTTTGGTCGTGGTTGTTCGGTCCGGTGGCTGTCCGTACTGGGAGCGGTGGCGGATCTGCTCTGCTTTCCAGCCGCTCAAAGCACTGGCCTCCACCCCTCTCTATAAGGGACAGTTCCAAGTCCTTTGAGCGGGCTGGATAGCTGGAACAGTTCTGCCACGACTTGCGTCCCAGTGTGCCAACTGTGCACCGACCATTTCCGGCGGTTTTGCGGCTATCTCCCCCGGGACGGGGTCAGTATTCAGCTTGTCGGTGGTTTGGTCGTGGTTGTTCGGTCCGGTGGCTGTCCGTACTGGGAGCGGTGGCGGATCTGCTCCGCTTTCCAGCCGCTCAAAGCACTGGCCTCCACCCCTCTCTATAAGGGACAGTTCCAAGTCCTTTGAGCGGGCTGGATAGCTGGAACAGTTCTGCCACGACTTGCGTCCCAGTGTGCCAACTGTGCACCGACCATTTCCGGCGGTTTTGCGGCTATCTCCCCGGGACGGGGTCAGTATTCAGCTTGTCGGTGGTTTGGTCGTGGTTGTTCGGTCCGGTGGCTGTCCGTACTGGGAGCGGTGGCGGATCTGCTCCGCTTTCCAGCCGCTCAAAGCACTGGCCTCCACCCCTCTCTATAAGGGACAGTTCCAAGTCCTTTGAGCGGGCTGGATAGCTGGAACAGTTCTGCCACGACTTGCGTCCCAGTGTGCCAACTGTGCACCGACCATTTCCGGCGGTTTTGCGGCTATCTCCCCGGGACGGGGTCAGTATTCAGCTTGTCGGTGGTTTGGTCGTGGTTGTTCGGTCCGGTGGCTGTCCGTACTGGGAGCGGTGGCGGATCTGCTCCGCTTTCCAGCCGCTCAAAGCACTGGCCTCCACCCCTCTCTATAAGGGACAGTTCCAAGTCCTTTGAGCGGGCTGGATAGCTGGAACAGTTCTGCCACGACTTGCGTCCCAGTGTGCCAACTGTGCACCGACCATTTCCGGCGGTTTTGCGGCTATCTCCCGGGACGGGGTCAGTATTCAGCTTGTCGGTGGTTTGGTCGTGGTTGTTCGGTCCGGTGGCTGTCCGTACTGGGAGCGGTGGCGGATCTGCTCCGCTTTCCAGCCGCTCAAAGCACTGGCCTCCACCCCTCTCTATAAGGGACAGTTCCAAGTCCTTTGAGCGGGCTGGATAGCTGGAACAGTTCTGCCACGACTTGCGTCCCAGTGTGCCAACTGTGCACCGACCATTTCCGGCGGTTTTGCGGCTATCTCCCGGGACGGGGTCAGTATTCAGCTTGTCGGTGGTTTGGTCGTGGTTGTTCGGTCCGGTGGCTGTCCGTACTGGGAGCGGTGGCGGATCTGCTCCGCTTTCCAGCCGCTCAAAGCACTGGCCTCCACCCCTCTCTATAAGGGACAGTTCCAAGTCCTTTGAGCGGGCTGGATAGCTGGAACAGTTCTGCCACGACTTGCGTCCCAGTGTGCCAACTGTGCACCGACCATTTCCGGCGGTTTTGCGGCTATCTCCCCGGGACGGGGTCAGTATTCAGCTTGTCGGTGGTTTGGTCGTGGTTGTTCGGTCCGGTGGCTGTCCGTACTGGGAGCGGTGGCGGATCTGCTCCGCTTTCCAGCCGCTCAAAGCACTGGCCTCCACCCCTCTCTATAAGGGACAGTTCCAAGTCCTTTGAGCGGGCTGGATAGCTGGAACAGTTCTGCCACGACTTGCGTCCCAGTGTGCCAACTGTGCACCGACCATTTCCGGCGGTTTTGCGGCTATCTCCCGGGACGGGGTCAGTATTCAGCTTGTCGGTGGTTTGGTCGTGGTTGTTCGGTCCGGTGGCTGTCCGTACTGGGAGCGGTGGCGGATCTGCTCCGCTTTCCAGCCGCTCAAAGCACTGGCCTCCACCCCTCTCTATAAGGGACAGTTCCAAGTCCTTTGAGCGGGCTGGATAGCTGGAACAGTTCTGCCACGACTTGCGTCCCAGTGTGCCAACTGTGCACCGACCATTTCCGGCGGTTTTGCGGCTATCTCCCGGGACGGGGTCAGTATTCAGCTTGTCGGTGGTTTGGTCGTGGTTGTTCGGTCCGGTGGCTGTCCGTACTGGGAGCGGTGGCGGATCTGCTCCGCTTTCCAGCCGCTCAAAGCACTGGCCTCCACCCCTCTCTATAAGGGACAGTTCCAAGTCCTTTGAGCGGGCTGGATAGCTGGAACAGTTCTGCCACGACTTGCGTCCCAGTGTGCCAACTGTGCACCGACCATTTCCGGCGGTTTTGCGGCTATCTCCCGGGACGGGGTCAGTATTCAGCTTGTCGGTGGTTTGGTCGTGGTTGTTCGGTCCGGTGGCTGTCCGTACTGGGAGCGGTGGCGGATCTGCTCCGCTTTCCAGCCGCTCAAAGCACTGGCCTCCACCCCTCTCTATAAGGGACAGTTCCAAGTCCTTTGAGCGGGCTGGATAGCTGGAACAGTTCTGCCACGACTTGCGTCCCAGTGTGCCAACTGTGCACCGACCATTTCCGGCGGTTTTGCGGCTATCTCCCGGGACGGGGTCAGTATTCAGCTTGTCGGTGGTTTGGTCGTGGTTGTTCGGTCCGGTGGCTGTCCGTACTGGGAGCGGTGGCGGATCTGCTCCGCTTTCCAGCCGCTCAAAGCACTGGCCTCCACCCCTCTCTATAAGGGACAGTTCCAAGTCCTTTGAGCGGGCTGGATAGCTGGAACAGTTCTGCCACGACTTGCGTCCCAGTGTGCCAACTGTGCACCGACCATTTCCGGCGGTTTTGCGGCTATCTCCCCCGGGACGGGGTCAGTATTCAGCTTGTCGGTGGTTTGGTCGTGGTTGTTCGGTCCGGTGGCTGTCCGTACTGGGAGCGGTGGCGGATCTGCTCCGCTTTCCAGCCGCTCAAAGCACTGGCCTCCACCCCTCTCTATAAGGGACAGTTCCAAGTCCTTTGAGCGGGCTGGATAGCTGGAACAGTTCTGCCACGACTTGCGTCCCAGTGTGCCAACTGTGCACCGACCATTTCCGGCGGTTTTGCGGCTATCTCCCCCCGGGACGGGGAGTCAGTATTCAGCTTGTCGGTGGTTTGGTCGTGGTTGTTCGGTCCGGTGGCTGTCCGTACTGGGAGCGGTGGCGGATCTGCTCCGCTTTCCAGCCGCTCAAGCACTGGCCTCCACCCCTCTCTATAAGGGACAGTTCCAAGTCCTTTGAGCGGGCTGGATAGCTGGAACAGTTCTGCCACGACTTGCGTCCCAGTGTGCCAACTGTGCACCGACCATTTCCGGCGGTTTTGCGGCTATCTCCCCCGGGACGGGGTCAGTATTCAGCTTGTCGGTGGTTTGGTCGTGGTTGTTCGGTCCGGTGGCTGTCCGTACTGGGAGCGGTGGCGGATCTGCTCCGCTTTCCAGCCGCTCAAGCACTGGCCTCCACCCCTCTCTATAAGGGACAGTTCCAAGTCCTTTGAGCGGGCTGGATAGCTGGAACAGTTCTGCCACGACTTGCGTCCCAGTGTGCCAACTGTGCACCGACCATTTCCGGCGGTTTTGCGGCTATCTCCCCGGGACGGGAGTCAGTATTCAGCTTGTCGGTGGTTTGGTCGTGGTTGTTCGGTCCGGTGGCTGTCCGTACTGGGAGCGGTGGCGGATCTGCTCCGCTTTCCAGCCGCTCAAAGCACTGGCCTCCACCCCTCTCTATAAGGGACAGTTCCAAGTCCTTTGAGCGGGCTGGATAGCTGGAACAGTTCTGCCACGACTTGCGTCCCAGTGTGCCAACTGTGCACCGACCATTTCCGGCGGTTTTGCGGCTATCTCCCGGGACGGGGTCAGTATTCAGCTTGTCGGTGGTTTGGTCGTGGTTGTTCGGTCCGGTGGCTGTCCGTACTGGGAGCGGTGGCGGATCTGCTCCGCTTTCCAGCCGCTCAAAGCACTGGCCTCCACCCCTCTCTATAAGGGACAGTTCCAAGTCCTTTGAGCGGGCTGGATAGCTGGAACAGTTCTGCCACGACTTGCGTCCCAGTGTGCCAACTGTGCACCGACCATTTCCGGCGGTTTTGCGGCTATCTCCCGGGACGGGGTCAGTATTCAGCTTGTCGGTGGTTTGGTCGTGGTTGTTCGGTCCGGTGG